TGAACCGCTGTAGTTTACAACAATTCTAGTTTCTGAGGTGGAAGTTGGGAGAGTTATATTTTGGTGTTGTGGTGAGGGAGGCCCCACTCTCTCCTTTCCCAGATGTTTAGTTCATTTCATTCCGATCTCCTTTGCATTATTGTAGCCATTTTCTGTAGCCTGTCAACTATGCCTCTGTCTATCCCTGTTCTCTCCTCTCCGCACAGGCTATACAAACGCCTCACACCGCGTGGCTGCTGCCTCTCTAACCTGGTGGTCCCTGCACGCACCACCCACGTGGAGTTCCAGGTCTCAGGCAGCCTCTGGAACTGCCGTTCTGCTGCCAACAAGGCAGAGTTCATCTCAGCCTATGCTACCCTCCAGTCCCTCGACTTCTTGGCGCTGACGCAAACATGGATTACCACCGAAAACACTGCTACTCCTACTGCCCTCTCCTCGTCTGACCATGTGTCCTCGCATACCCCGAGAGCATCTGGTCAGCGGGGTGGTGGCACAGGAATCCTCATCTCTCCCAAGTGGACATTCTCTATTTTCCCCCTGACCCATCTGTCTATCTCCTCATTTGAATTCCATGCTGTCACAGTCACTAGCCCATTTAAGCTTAACATCCTTGTCATTTATCGCCCTCCAGGTTCCCTTGGAGAGTTCATCAATGAGCTTGACGCCTTGATAAGTTCCTTTCCTGAGGATGGCTCACCCCTCACAGTTCTGGGGGACTTCAACCTCCCTACGTCTACCTTTGACTCATTTCTCTCTGCCTCCTTCTTTCCACTCCTCTCCTCTTTTGACCTCACCCTCTCATCCCCCCCCCCCCCCCCCCCCTACTCACAAGGCAGGCAATATGCTTGACCTCATCTTTACTAGATGCTGTTCTTCTACTAATCTCACTGCAACTCCCCTCCATGTCTCCGACCACTACTTTGTATCCTTTTCTCTCTCGCTCCCCTCCAACACTACTCACTCTGCCCCTACTCAGATGGTAATCATCTCTTCCCTCTGCTCAATCCTTCTCCCTCCAATCTCCTGATTCTGCCTCCTCAACCCTCCTCTCCTCCCTTTCTGCATCCTTTGACTCTCTATGTCCCCTATCCTCCCGGCCGGCTCGGTCCTCCCCTCCAGCTCCGTGGCTTGATGACACATTGCGAGCTCACAGAACAGGGCTCCGGGCAGCCGAGCGGAAATGGAGGAAAACTAGACTCCCTGTGGACCTGGCATCTTTTCTCTCCCTCCTCTCTACATTTTCTTCGTATGTTTCTGCTGCTAAAGCCACTTTCTACCACTCTAAATTCCAAGCATCTGCCTCTAACCCTAGGAAGCTCTTTGCCACCTTCTCCTCCCTGCTGAATCCTCCTCCCCCTCCCCCCCTCCTTCCTATCTGTGGATGACTTCGTCAACCATTTTGAAAAGAAGGTTGACGACATCCGATCCTCGTTTGTTAAGTCAAATGACACTGCTGGTCCTGCTCACACTGCCCTACCATATGCTTTGACTTCTTTCTCCCCTCTCTCTCCAGATAAAATCTTGCGACTTGTGACGGCCGGCCGCCCAACAACCTGCCCGCTTGACCCTATCCCCTCCTCTCTTCTCCAGACCATCTCCGGTGACCTTCTCCCTTACCTCACCTCGCTCATCAACTCATCCTTGACTGCTGGCTATGTTCCTTCCGTCTTCAAGAGAGCTAGAGTTGCACCCCTTCTCAAAAAACCAACACTCGATCCCTCTGATGTCAACAACTACAGACCAGTATCCCTTCTTTCTTTTCTCTCCAAAACTCTTGAGCGTGCCGTCTTTAGCCAACTCTCTTGCTATCTCTCTCAGAATGACCTTGATTCAAACCAGTCAGATTTCAAGACTGGTCATTCAACTGAGACTGCTCTTCTCTGTGTCACGGAGGCTCTCCGCACTTCTAAAGCTAACTCGCTCTCCTCTGCTCTGTCCTTCTAGACCTGTCTGCTGCCTTTGATACTGTGAACCATCAGATCCTCCTCTCCACCCTCTCCGAGCTGGGCATCTCCGGCGCGGCTCACTCTTCGATTGCGTCCTACCTGACCGGTCGCTCCTACCAAGTGGTGTGGCGAGAAGCTGTCTCCGCACCACGTGCTCTCACCACTGGTGTCCCCCAGGGCTCAGTTCTAGGCCCTCTCCTATTCTCGCTATACACCAAGTCACTTGGTCCTGTCATATCCTCACATGGCCTCTCCTATCATTGCTACGCATACGACACACAACTAATCTTCTCCTTTCCCCCTTCTGATAACCAGGTGGTGAATCGCATCTCTGCATGCCTGGCAGACATATCAGTGTGGATGACGGATCACCACCTCAAGCTGAACCTTGGCAAGACGGAGCTGCTCTTCCTCCCGGGGAAGGACTGCCCGTTCCATGATCTCGCCATCACGGTTGACAACTCCGTTGTGTCCTCCTCCCAGAGTGCGAAGAGCCTTGGCGTGACCCTGGACAACACCCTGTCGTTCTCCGCTAACATCAAGGCGGTGACCCGATCCTGTAGGTTCATGCTCTACAACATTCGTAGAGTACGACCCTGCCTTACACAGGAAGCGGCACAGGTCCTAATCCAGGCACTTGTCATCTCCCGTCTGGATTACTGCAACTCGCTGTTGGCTGGGCTCCCTGCCTGTGCCATTAAACCCCTACAACTCATCCAGAATGCCGCAGCCCGTCTGGTGTTCAACCTTCCCAAGTTCTCTCATGTCACCCCGCTCCTCCGCACACTCCACTGGCTTCCAGTTGAAGCTCGCATCTGCTACAAGACCATGGTGCTTGCCTACGGAGCTGTGAGGGGAACGGCACCTCCGTACCTTCAGGCTCTGATCAGTCCCTACACCCAAATGAGGGCATTGCGTTCATCCACCTCTGGCCTGTTGGCCCCCCTACCTCTGCGGAAGCACAGTTCCCGCTCAGCCCAGTCAAAACTGTTCGCTGCTCTGGTACCCCAATGGTGGAACAAGCTCCCTCACGACGCCAGGACAGCGGAGTCACTCACCACCTTCCGGAGACACTTGAAACCCCACCTCTTTAAGGAATACCTGGGATAGGATAAAGTAATCTTTCTACCCCCCGCCTTACCCCCCCCCCAAAAAAAAAAACATTGTAAAGTGGTTATTCCTCTGGTTATAAGGTGAATGCACCAATTTGTAAGTCGCTCTGGATAAGAGCGTCTGCTAAATGACGTAAATGTAAATGTAAAATGTACTTTCCCCACTGCTTCACACTCCTTAGTCTCATGCCCTTCTGCACACTTCTCACACCTTGGAATCTCCCTCCTACATACTGCTGCCACATGCCCATAAGTTTGACACCTGTAGCATCGTTACGTACTCAGCACATACGCTCGCACAGGATAACTTATATATCCTAACTTCACTTTATCTGGCAAAGACTCAACTTCAAAACTCAAAAGAACAGACAATGACTTTTCTGTTTCCCCACTCTTGCCACCCTGTTTAGGTCGCACCAAACGACGAGCATCACACACACCGGGAATCTTCTCCTTCAGTTGATCCACTTTTACATTTACTGCTACCCCAGTAATCACTCCTCTCAATGGCACCCTTTTCTTAACAGCGAAACAATTCACAATTCTTTCCCCCATTTGTTTAACTCTAAGCGCCTTCTCCGTCTGCCAAACAGAAACACAAACAATTATCACTAGACCACTTCTGGTTACCCTCACCGATTCCACTATACCCAACACTTTTTTTTACCCATCTTGAAACCACAAATGGATCAGCCAGAAGACAATGATCCACTTTTTCCGCAAACTTCACTCCTACTGTCACAGACTCATCTTTATCCTGACCCTCTGCTTAAGCCTCTGGCTCCGAGCAATTCACCACACCTACCACCTCCGATACTTCACCCTCTTCCATTTCTCCTCCTGTCTTCAGCTCACTTTGCTTACATTTCCTACCACTCTTCTTTAACAAACCTTCTCCCTTTTTCCCGCCATTTTTTACAGACTCTCTTTACCTCTCTCTTTACCTTTTTTACAGACTCTCTTTACCTCCCTCTCTCTCTTAGACCTCCTCTGCCTCTCTTTTCCTTGCCTTCTCAAAGGACTCCAATTTCCCCCTCCTTTCCCTTCCGCCGTCTATTCTATCCTCGACCTCACAGTCCACAATGACCTCATCATTGCTCCCTCCTATCCTCTGGACTTGTGTCAACATTTTGGCCTTCGTCTTCTATCGGAAAATATTTGGTCCGCCACAGTCCCCAATCGCCATACCGAAATCCTGGCCGACCTCCCTCAAACTAGCCCATCCGTCTCGGTAGAAAAGGTCAGTGTCTACTTCAAATTAAAAGCACATATTACTAACTCCAGTGATAAACTGGGGTCAGTCTCAGTGTAAAAAGGCAGTGGCATAAAGTACTTAAGTAAAAATACTTTAAAGTACTACTTAAGTCGTTTTTGGGGGTATCTGTACTTTACTTACATTTGACAACTTTTACTTTTACTTCACTACATTCCAAAAGAAAATAATGTACTTTTTACTCCATACATTTTCCTTGACACCCAAAGTACTCTTTACAATTTGAATGCTTAGCAGGACAAGAAAATGGTCCAATTCACGCACTTATCAAGAGAACATCCCTGGTCATCCCTACTGCCCTTGATCTGGCGGACTTACTAAACACATGCTTCATTTGCTAATTTTGTCTGAGTGATGGATAAATAAACAAGAATAGCGCCATCTGGTTTTCTTAATATAAGGAATTTGAAATGATTTATACTTTTACTCTTTATACTTAATTATGTTTTAGTAATTGCATTTACTTTTGATACTTAAGTATATTTGAAACCAAATACTTTTAGACTTTTACTCAAGTAGTATTTTACTGGGTGACTTTTAATTGAGCCATTTTCTATTAAGGTATCTTTACTTTTACTCAAGTATGACAATTGGGTACTTTTTCCACCACTGTAAAAAGGAAATAAAAAATATATGATAAAGTATGATACAAGAAGAAGGACACCATGATTCAACAGATTTGTTCAGTTTATTGATATCAATATCAACAATGACAGAACGAACAGAGAAATGGTGAATGTCAGATTTTGGAAGACATTTGTTCACAGATTAAATAGGTTAATCATATTGCTTCATATTTTTCCTTTCCTCTGTAAGGATACGGTGTGTGTGTGTCACTGAAACACATTCCTCCTGTGTCTTTTAAGACCGGACACGGTATGCCCTCGCCCTTGTTCTCACCCTCACGGTCCTTGCGGGTGGGGATGCCACTCTCGGTGTCACGACAGCACTGCCACACTTCCTTTGGCAATGGTCCATGGAGACAAAGTTGTTGGCATTACCCTGGCATCCGCCGAACCAGAACTGAGTGCAACTGCCAGTGGCTGAGTTGTAGTAGAAGCGGGACGTCCAACTGGCACAGGGTCCAGCGTCATGTGACATGGAGCACATATGGCCAGACTGAGCAGGAGCGGAGTGGTCCTAGAGAGAGAGCATAAATAGGTGGAAAGAATAAGAAAATGAAATGTTTTCCAATCTAAAGGGATGGATAGACTGCTTTTGATTGTGAAAGAAAAAGAGTGGTCTTGACATAATGGGTAGTGGGCAGCTCTTACCGCGAGTGGGTGGTAATCAGGACATCCTGCCCTTCCATGACCCTGAGCAGGAGTCACCCCATCCAGACAGCAGCCGTACCTGACAACCAGAGATGAACACAGGTAAGATATTGACTAGACAACAAACCGTTAGCTGTTATGGAAAGGCACAAAGACAGGTGAGACAGGAACATGGACTCAGACAGCATCCATGAATGTGAATGTCACTAGTTGGACTGTCCAAGTAACATAAAGTTGTGTCATAATCAACCTCTACATGCCATGTCTGTTCTACACAATGCTATCTCCATCTTAAAGTTATGTAAAGTTGAACCCAACTGAACAAACGCCACCTAGGTCTTACCGGGTGCGTACGCAGTCATCTGCAGAACAGCCCTCTCCTCTATGCCCACCGGCGGATGTGTGGCCGTCGGGGCAGCAGCCGTAGTATGACTGGGCGCAGTAAGGACCAACCACAGCGGTGGAATAGGGATCGTACACTGTGTTAGTGGCTAAAGACAGCAGACGCAGACATATGGCTAAATGTTTACTTAATGTATACAAATAGCCTATATACTTAATGTACCTATACAAAAATACACCAAATAAACACCAAATAAACACATACAGTGAGGCAAAAAAGTATATGATTTGCTGAAAAAAAATCCTGAAAAACGCATGTCAAAAATTTTATAAATTGATTTGCATTTTAATGAGGGAAATAAGTATTTCACCCCTATGCAAATGACTTAGTACTTGGTGGCAAAACCCTTGTTGGCAATCACAGAGGTCAGACGTTTCTTGTAGTTGGCCACCAGGTTTGCACACATCTCAGGAGGGATTTTGTCCCACTCCTCTTTGCAGATCTTCTCCAAGTCATTAAGGTTTCGAGCCTGACGTTTGGCAACTCGAACCTTCAGCTCCCTCCACAGATTTTCTATGGGATTAAGGTCTGGAGACTGGCTAGGCCACTCCAGGACCTTAATGTGCTTCTTCTTGAGCCACTCCTTTGTTGCCTTGGCCGTGTGTTTTGGGTCGTTGTCATGCTGGAATACCCATCCACAACCCATTTTCAATGCCCTGGCTGAGGGAAGGAGGCTCTCACCCAAGATTTGACGGTACTTGGCCCCGTCCATCGTCCCTTTGATGCGGTGAAGTTGTCCTGTCCCCTTAGCAGAAAAACACCCCCAAAGCATAATGTTCCCACCTCCATGTTTGACGGTGGGGATGGTGTTCTTGGGGTCATAGGCACCATTCCTCCTCCTCCAAACACGGCGAGTTGAGTTGATGCCAAAGAGCTCGATTTTGGTCTCATCTGACCACAACACTTTCACCCAGTTCTCCTCTGAATCATTCAGATGTTCATTGGCAAATTTCAGATGGGCTTGTATATGTGCTTTCTTGAGCAGGGGGACCTTGCGGGCGCTGCAGGATTTCAGTCCTTCACGGCGTAGTGTGTTACCAATTGTTTTCTTGGTGACTATGGTCCCAGCTGACTTGAGATCATTGACAAGATCCTCCCGTGTAGTTCTGGGCTGATTCCTCACCGTTCTCATGTTCATTGCAACTCCACGAGGTGAGATCTTGCATGGAGCCCCAGGCCGAGGGAGATTGACAGTTCTTTTGTGTTTCTTCCATTTGCGAATAATCGCACCAACTGTTGTCACCTTCTCACCAAGCTGCTTGGCGATGGTCTTGTAGCCCATTCCAGCCTTGTGTAGGTCTACAATCTTGTCCCTGACATCCTTGGAGAGCTCTTTGGTCTTGGCCATGATGGAGAGTTTGGAATCTGATTGATTGATTGCTTCTGTGGCCCTCTGTAGCTCAGCTGGTAGAGCACGGTGCTTGTAACGCCAGGGTAGTGGGTTCGATCCCCGGGACCACCCATATACAAAATATTTTTGCACGCATGACTGTAAGTCGCTTTGGATAAAAGCGTCTGCTAAATGGCATATTATTATTATTATTATACAGGTAACAAAATGAGATTAGGAGCACTCCCTTTAAGAGTGTGCTCCTAATCTCAGCTCGTTACCTGTATAAAAGACACCTGGGAGCCAGAAATCTTTCTGATTGAGAGGGGTCAAATACTTATTTCCCTAATTAAAATGCAAATCAATTTATAACATTTTTGACATGCGTTTTTCTGGATTTTTGTTGTTGTTATTCTGTCTCTCACTGTTCAAATAAACCTACCATTAAAATTATAGACTGATCATTTCTTTGTCAGTGGGCAAACATACAAAATCAGCAGGGAATCAAATACTTTTTTCCCTCACTGTACATGGATAAATGTTTTGAGTGTTTATTTTTGCTATTGTATATTTAGGAGCGGCATAGTTATGTTTAGCTAGACAGTATATTTTCAGATGTGGATATACCACTTTGACTAGTGGATCCTGTCTTGTCTATATGTAGTTAATTTTTTTTGATGGATTACAACACTGTCTAGACAGAGAGAACTGGGATGTACAGTATGCACTATAAGAGAGGTGTGTTTTAGCATAAGGAATGATCGACTCAAAGTAAACAGAATTGTTTGGGTGAGGATTGAGAGCTGAAAGAAAAGTTCATTTTTCAAATTCTTGTTGTTTTGCTAAACTATTTCTGTCTCTACCTTAATTATCCCAAGTCAATCTACACACATATATGATTATAATTGTGCACTCAAATTGATACACATGTCCATGCATGCATAGAGACAAAAACATCCCTAACACACACGCGTGTACGAACGCACATGTACCTGAAGGGTCGTAAGGCACATATCCTCTCAGAGTGCTGTCATGTCCTCTTGGGTCTTGGACACTTGGTACACCTAAACAGAGAGGGACAATGATACATGAATAGAACCCCCCCCCACCCATACACACACATATATATATATACATAAACATATACTGAACAAAAATATAAAAGCAACATGAAACAATTTCAAAGATTTTACTGAGTTACAGTTCATAGAAGGAAATCAGTCAATTGAAAAAAATGTATTAGGCCTTATTCTATAGATTTCACATGACCCACCCACTGGGGAGCTGGGCCCAGCCAATCGGAATGAGTTTTTCCCCACAAAAGGGCTTTTTTACAGACAAGAATACTCCTCAGCACCCCCCCCCCCCCCTCCCCCTCATCAGATGATCCCGCAGGTGAAGAAGCCGGATGTGGAGGTCCTGGGCTGGCGTGGTTACACGTGGTCTGAGGTTATGAGGCCGGTTGGATGTACTGCCAAATTCTCTAAAACGACGTTGGAGACGGCTTATGGTAGAGAAATTAACGTTACATTCTCTGCCAACAGCTCTGTTGAACATTGCTGCAGTCAGCATGCCAATTACACGCTCCATCAAAACTTGAGACATCTGTGGCATTATGTTGTGTGACAAAACTGCACATTTTACAGTGCCCTTTTATTGTCCCCAGCACAAGGTGCACCTGTGTAATGGTCATGCTGTTTAATCGGCTTCTTGATATGCCACACCTGTCAAGTGGATGGATTATCTTGGCAAAGGAGAAATGCTCACTAACAGGGATGTAAACAAATTTGTGCACAACATTTGAGAGAAATTAGCTTTATGTGCATATTTGAAGAATCTCAAATATTAAATATATTTTGATTTGTTTAACACTTTTTTGGTTAATAGATGATTCCATGTGTTGTTTCATAGTTTTGATTTCCTCACTATTATTCTACAATGTAGAAAATTGTAAAAAAAATAAAGAAAAACCCTTGAATGAGCAGGAATGTCCAAACTTTTCACTGGTACTATGTGTGTGATATATACACACAGCACATTCGGAAAGTATTCAGACCCCTTCCCTTTTTCCACATTTTGTTACGTTACAGCCTTATTCTAATAAAATTGAATAAATAAATAAAAAATACAGTTGAAGTCGGAAGTTTACATCCACTTAGGTTGGAGTCATTAAAACTCGTTTTTCAACCACTCCACACATTTCTTGTTAACAAACTATAGTTTTGGAAAGTCGTTTAGGACATCTACTTTGTGCATGACACAAGTCATTTTTCCAACAATTGTTTACAGACAGATTATTTCACTTACAATTCACTGTATCACAATTCCAGTGGGTTAGAAGTTTACATACACTAAGTTGACTGTGCCTTTAAACAGCTTGGAAAATTCCAGAAAATGATGTCAATTGGAGGTGTACCTGTGGAAGTATTACAAGGCCTACCTTCAAACTCAGTGCCTCTTTGCTTGACATCATGGGAAAATCAAAAGAAATCAGACAAGACCTCAGAAAAAGAATTTTAGATCTCCACAAGTCTGGTTCATCCTTGGGAGCAATTTCCAAACACCTGAAGGTACCACGTTCATCTGTACAAACAATAGTACGCAAGTATAAACACCATGGGAACACGCAGCCGTCAAACCGCTCAGGAAGGAGACACGTTCTGTCTCCTAGAGATTAACGTACTTTGGTGCGAAAAGTGCAAATCAATCCCAGAACAACCGCAAAGGACCTTGTGAAGCTGCTGGAGGACACCGGTACAAAAGTATCTATATAACCTGAAAGGCCGCTCAGCAAGGAAGAAGCCACTGCTCCAAAACCGCCATATAAAATCCAGACTATGGTTTGCAACTGCACATGGGGACAAAGATCGTACTTTTTGGAGATATGTCCTCTGGTCTGATGAAACAAAAATAGAACTGTTTGGCCATAATGACCATCGTTATGTTTGGAGGAAAAAGGGGGTGCTTGCAAGCCAAAGAACACCATCCCAACCGTGAAGGACGGGGGTGGCAGCATCATGCTGTGGGGGTGCTTTGCTGCAGGAGGGACTGGTGCACTTCACAAAATAGATGGCATCATGAGGAAGGAAAATGATGTGGATATATTGAAGCAACATCTCAAGACATTAGTCAGGAAGTTAAAGCTTGGACGCAAATGGGTCTTCCAAATGGACAATGACCCCAAGCATACTTCCAACGTTGTGGCAAAAGGGCTTAAGGACAACAAAGTCAAGGTATTGGAGTGGCCATCACAAAGCCCTAACCTCAATCCTATAGAACATTTGTGGGCAGAACTGAAAAAGCGTGTGCGAGCAAGGAGGCGTACAAACCTGATTCAGTTGCACCAGCTCTGTCAGGAGGAATGGGCCAAAATTCACCCAACTTTATGTGGGAAGCTTGTGGAAGGCTACCCGAAACGTTTGACCCAAGTTAAACAATTTAAAGGCAATGCTACCAAATACTAATTTAGTGTATGTAAACTTCTGACCCACTGGGAATGTGATGAAATAAATAAAAGCTGAAATAAATCATTCTCTCTAACATTATTCTGACATTTCACATTCATAAAATAAAGTGGTGATCCTAACTGACCTAAGAGAGGGAATTTTTACTAGGATGAAATGTCAGGAATTGTGAAAAACTGAGTTTAAATGTATTTGGCTAAGGTGTACGTAAACTTCCGACTTCAACTGTAAGTATTCAGACCGTTTGCTATGAGACTCGAAATTGAGCTCAGGTGCACCCTGTTTCCATTGATCATCGTTGATGTTTCTACAACTTGATTGGAGTCCACCTGTGGTAAATTCAATTGATTGGACACGATTAGAAAAGGCACACACCTGTCTATATAAGGCCACACAGTTGACAGTGCATGTCAGAGCAAAAACCAAGCCATGAGGTTGAAGGAATTGTCCGTAGAGCTCCGAGACAGGATTATGTCGAAGCACAAATCTGCACAAGGGTACCAAAACATTTCTGCAGCATTGAAGGTTCCCAAGAACACAGCGTCCTACATCATTCTTAAATGGAAGAAGTTTGGAACCACCTAGACTCTTCCTAGAGCTGGCCGCCCGGCCAAACTGAGCAATCGAGGGATAAGGGCCTTGATCAGGGAGGTGACCAAGAACCCGATGGTCACTCTGACAGAGCTCTAGAGTTCCTCTGTGGAGATGGGAGAACGTTCCAGGAGGACAACCATCTCTGCAGCACTCCACCAATCAGGCCTTTATGGTAGAGTGGCCAGACGGAAGCTACTCCTCAGTAAAAGGCACATGACAGCCCGCTTGGAGTTTGCCAAAAGGCACCTAAAGGACTCTCAGACCATGCGAAACAAGATTCTCTGGTCTGATGAAACCAATATTGAACTCTTTGGCCTGAATGCCAAGCGTCACGTCTGGAGGAAACCTGGCACCATCCCTACGGTGAAGCATTGTTGTGGCAGCATTATATTGTGGGGATGTTTTTCAGCAGCAGGGACTGGGTGACTAGTCAGGATCGAGGGAAAGACGAAAAGAGCAAAGTACAGAGAAATCCTTGATGAAAACCTGCTCCAGAGCGCTCAGGACATCTGAATGGGGCGAAGGTTCACCTTCCAACAGGACAACAACCCTAAGCACACAGCCAAGACAACGCAGGAGTGGCTTCAGGACAAGTTTCTGAATGCCTTTGAGTGGCCCAGCCAGAGCGCGGACATGAACCCGATCTAACATCTCTGGAGAGACCTGAAAATAGCTGTGCAGCGACGCTCCCCATCCAACCTGACAGAGCTTGAGAGGATCTGTAGAGAAGAATAGGAGAAACTCCCCAAATACAGGTGTGCCAAGCATGTAGTGTCATACCCAATACGACTCGAGGCTGTAATCGCTGCCTAAGGTGCTTCAACAAAGTACTGCATAAAGGGTCTGAATATTATGTAAATGTGATTTTTATTTAAAAAAAAATTGTAATCTGTTTTTGCTTTGTCATTATGGAGTATTGTGTGTAGATTGATGAGGGGGAAAAACTATTTAATCCATTTTAGAATAAGGCTGTAACGTAACAAATTATGGAAAAAGTCAAGGGGTCTGAATACTTTCTGAATGCACTGTATATATACAGTACCAGTCAAAAGTTTGGACACACCTACCCATTCAAGGGATTTTATTTATTTAAAAAAATAATTACATTGTAGAATAATAGTGAGGACATCGAAATTATGAAATAACACATATGGTATCATGTAGTAACCAAAAAATTGTTAAACAAATCAAAATATATTTAGATTTTAGATTCTTTGAAGTAGCCACCCTTTGCTTGGATGACAGCTTTGCACACAGTTGGCATTCTCTCAACCAGCTTCACCTGGAATGCTTTTCCAACAGTCTTGAAGGAGTTCCCACATATGCTGAGCACTTGTTGGCTGCTTTTCCTTCACTCTGCGGTCCAACTCATCCCAAACCATCTCAATTGGGAGGACGTTCGCAGTGCAGAGCTGGGTGGACACCCGACCAGCCCCGGCAACCAGCGGAGCGGAAGCCGCGGCAGCGGCGTCTTCAGTCTCGCCTGTGACATTGCGGGAACCCCGCCTACCACCTCCGGAGAGGTATGACGGACGTCCAGAGGGCTGCAGGGAATTCCTTACCTTGTGTTCCCTGGTATTCAGCCTACAACCCTCCTCCTTCCCGACGGATGGCCTACATCATCACTCTGTTGACGGGTCGGGCTCTTTGCTGGGCTACCGTGGAGTGGGAGAGCCAAACTCCGGCCTGGTCTTATTCCTACCAATTCACCCGGGAGCTACGCAAGGTGTTCGACACCTCTCGGGTGGTGTCGGGGCACGAGGCCGGGAGTCGGCTGTCGGCTGTCGGCAATGTGACCGTTTGGTGAGGACTACTCCGTGGAGTTCCGGACCCGGGCTCGAGAGGCAGGATGGGAGGAGGCTGCCCTGGTCGTCCTTTACGCGCAGGGGCTATTGGAGGGGATGAAGGACGAACTCTCCTTCAGGGAGCTGCCTGAGCAACTGGATGGCCTCGTCAAACTCTCGGTGCAGGTAGACAATCGGCGTCGTGAGAAGGTGCATGAGAGAGGGAACTGAAACCCCAACTTCAGAGACTCCCGGACTTTTCTCCCCGTCAGGGTTCAGTGGGCCCGTGCTGCGCGTCGGGTGCATGCTCTGGTGGATTCTGGGGACGCGGGAAACCTGATGGACGCGGGGCTGGCCCAAGGGTGGAGCATTCCGTTACTCTCCCTCTCCATTCCGGTCATGGGCCTGGACGGCCGGTCGTTGGGGTCGGGCTTCATCACACGGCACACTGTCCCTGTGCGTGTCCGCGTGGCGGGGGGTCTGTGGGAGGATATCCAGTTTTTCATTGTGGACTCTCCGGAGTGTCCCCTCGTCCTCGGGCACCCCTGGCTGGTCACCCACAAACCCCGGATAGACTGGTCCATGGGGCGGCTCATCCTGGAGGGAGGCTCCGCCCCCGTCTTGATCCGGTCTCCACCGACCACTCATCAGCCCAACCATCATCCCAGACCACCTATCAGTCCTCACCTCTTCCCCAGGTCCCGAACTCCGAACCGCCTACCGCCCTAGCGGCGGTTGCCTTCAGGAGGACGGCGGCTACAGACTCCATCACCAGCCCAGACCTGGCAGCTGTTCCCCAGGAGTATTGGGATCTGGGGGAGGTATTTAGTAAGATGCCAAGGGCCAACCTCCTCACAGGCCATACGACTGCTCTATCGATCTACTGCCGGGCAACATGCCCACACAAGGGCGATTGTTTTCCTTGTCACGGCCGGAGACACTGGCCATGAGGGAGTATATCGACTACAGCGTCTTCTTGTATTTGGATGAAATTCTAATATTCTCAACGGACGAGTGAACACCAGCAGCACGTTCGGCAGGTCCTCCAACGCCTTCTCTGTCACCAGCTCTACATCAAGGCAGAGAAGTGCGTGTTCCACACAGAGACAGTCTCCTTCCTGGGGTTCATCATCACCCAGGGGGACCTACGGATGGACCCAGCCAAGGTCAGCGCGGTACTGGATTGGCCCCAGCCCTCATCCCTCAAGCAACTACAGCGGTTTTTAGAATTCGCAAATTCTTATAGGCGATTTATTCGCAATTTTAACTCCCTAGCCGCTCCCCTGACAGCCCTCACCCAGACAAGCGTGCGCTCCTTCGCCTGGACCCCGGAAGTGGGGAACGCATTTGATGCCCTTACGTGGAGCTTTACATCGGCCCCGGTCCTAGGGCATCCTGATCCGTCCCTGCCGTTCATGGTGGAGGTGGATGCTTCAGATGTTGCGGTGGGAGCAATCCTGTCCCAGCGGTTCCTCACGGACGGTAAGACTCACCCCTGCGTGTTTTTCTCCCGTCGGCTGTCCCCGGCGGAGCGGAATTACGACATGGGGAACTGTGAGTTGCTAGCAGTCAAGCTCGCCCTGGGGGAGTGGAGGCATTGGCTAGAGGGGGCCGCCCATCCATTCGTTGTATGGACGGACCATAAGAACTTAGCCTACATTCAGGGGGCTTCACCAGGTTCCGGTTCACCATCTCATACTGTCCGGGGTCAAAGAACACCAAGCCTGACGCGCCCTCCCGGCAGTTTGACCCGGTGGACCTGGTGGAGAGGGACGACCCCATTGTCCCCAATGCCCTGATTGCTGCACCAGTTTCGTGGGGATACGATATACTGGTCAGAGCAGCGCTACGATGGGAGCCCGATCCGGGCGGAGGTCCATCGGGGAGGATGTACGTACCCAAGGCTGCACGGTCGCGACTACTTCAGTGGGCTCACGCATCCGACCTCACCAGCCATCTGGGGGGCGCCAGGACGTTGGAGTTCCTGCGTAGGAGGTTCTGGTGAGGTTCCGCTAAGCGCAAACCAGATGGGATGGCGTATCGCTGCAGAATGCTGTGGTAGCCATGCTGGTTAAGTGTGCCTTATTCTAAATTCTAAAGTGGAACTATCATTTGGCTATTTGAAGAATCTCAAATATAAAATATATTTAGATTTGTTTAACTCTTTTTTGGTTACTACATGATTCCATATGTGTTATTTCATAGTTTTGATGTGTTCAATATTATTCTACAATGTAGAAAATAGTAAAAATAAAGAAAAAAACACACTGGAATTGGACTCACTTTGGGCTTCATGGCAGGCCTGGGTGTTACAGTGCTCCACGGTAGCGGGTTTGGGGCGGGGGGCGCACCTGTCCTCCCCATGTGGGTTCTGGTCTATGTCCATACACACTACCCTCCTCTCCCGCACCCCTCCACCACAATTCCTAGAGCACTATAGGGAGAGACAGCAGAGAAAGAGAGGTCAGAGACAGCATGATAGATAGAGTTACACAGAAGTAGGGAAAGATAAGAGAAAAGGGTAGGAGATTGTCACGTCTACTCCGGCTCCCCCACTCCGGCGCTCGACGTCACCAGTCTACTAACCACCGTCTTGGCAACCCACCACCGAGAGGTCCAAGGTTGCCACGGTTATCTTCCTACTGACCGGGCGGGCGTTGGAGTGGACTACGGCCGTCTGGGAGAGAGGAGAGGAGGAGCTGGGTTCCTATGGGAGGTTCATGGCTTCATGGAGGAGACTTCGATCATCCACCGGAGGGCAGAGAGGGGGGTGAGTGCCTACTCCAACTACGGCAGGAGGACCAGACCGCTGTGGAGTACGTCCTCACCTTCTGTACAATAGCAGCATCCAGTGGATGGAATGAGCCGGCGCTCCGCTCCTTATTCAGAAGAGGATTGCCCGAGGAGGTCCAGACGGAGTTGGCATGCCGAGACGACACCTTCTCATTGGACACACTCATCGCGATGGCCATCCGTCTGGATAACCTCCTTCGGGAGCGGCGCCACTCTCATCGCCTCTCTCCCTCCTTCGTTGACCGATCTGAGTCAGAGTCTGAAAACATGGAGGTAGGGGCAACACGCCTCCCTTCGTTGACCGATCTGAGTCAGAGTCTGAACCCATGGAAGTAGGGGCCACACGCCTCCCTGCGGCTGAGCGACGCCGTCGGAGACAGCTGGGGTTCTGTCCCTATTGTGGTCAAAAGGGGCACCAGCTTCAACTGTGTCCGCTACGTCCCAACCCGGGAGCCACTAGAGCAGAGGGACGGTCCCGTGATCACCCGTCTCCTGGGGTAGGTGTGAGTATTCCATCATCATCACTCTCCACCAAACCCTTTTTAGTACCGATTTCATTAACTGGCTGTCCCTCGTGTTGTTTCTACAGCTCTAGTGGACTCCATTGCCGCCGCAGGGAATTGTATTGACCAGGCCCTTGCCTCCTCCCTGAACATAACATCATACCTGCTCTCCTCTCCGTTTCCGGTTCAAGCGCTGGATTACCGACCACTGGGATCTGGGACAATCACACACATCACAGGACCACTCACCATCACCGTGGGACCCCTGCACCAAGAAAACCTTCCCTTCCTCATCATCCAGGCACCCATACACAAAGTCATCCTTGGCCTCCCGTGGCTCCAACGTCACGACCCCACCATCTCCTGGTCGAGGATGGAGATCACGGCCTGGGCACCCGGATGTCGGAAGACATGCTTTCCCTTACCCTGTGGTTCCATGTCAGTTGAGAGTCCTGTGGTTGCCCTCCAGGTTTACCAGCATCTCCGGGAGGTTTTCTCCAAGACCCGTGCCACCTGTCTCCCTCCTCATCGCCCCTGGGACTGTGCCATCGACCTGCTAACAGACTCTGCGCCTCCGCGCAGCCACATCTATCCCCTGTCAGTGGCTGAAACCAAGGCTATGGAATACATCCAGGATGTTCTCCAACAGGGTTTCATCCGCCCATCTACCTCCCCTGCGTTGGCAGGTTTCTTCTTCGTGGCCAATAAGGAGGGGGTCTTCGTCCATGTATTGACTACAGAGGTCTCAATGCCATCACCACCAAGTACCGCATTCCAGCCATTACAATGACCCATCCTACTATAGCTCCTCCCACCAGCCTCCTCTGGTATTGTATGATATCGAAAGTCCCTGTCCAATTCGAAATGCTTTATTGACATGACAAAATTACTGGTATGTATTGCCAAAGCAACTATGTTGAACAATTTAACAACAAAAAAAATACATTTATCTCTTTCTCTTACCAGTCCGAAGTCATGGACGTGCCAGCTGATGTGGGTGTGGCAGGCTGGCTTGCGGCAGGCCTGGACTGCAGGTGCGCGTGCCAGACCACTGCAGGCTTGGTCCCCAAGGCGCTCCCCTCCTGCCCCCACGCAAACCACCTCCCTGGTCTGCTGGCCCTCCCCACAGGTCACCGAACACTGGGAATGGGAAATATATAACAGGGGAAATTTAGCATCAAAACAAGATCAATGGCTCAATCTTACATTTTACATTTTAATCATTTAATCTTATCCAGAGCAACTTACAGGAGCAATTAGGGTTAAGTGCCTTGCTTAAGGGCACATCAACTGATTTTTCACCTTCTCGGCTCAGGAATTCGAACCAGCAGTGGCGTGTATTCATGGTTGCCAAGGAAAGCCAGGCTTCCCCAAATATTTGACCAATAAAAAACTCTGTATTTTCAAAATGTTCCTTCAATTCACAAGGGGCTCAATCTCACCGGAGAAATCATCCGAACAAGGGAAACAGTGCCCCTCTGTCTCAGTATGTGTAGCCCATGTATCTGATGCTGTCTGGACCAAAATAGTATGACATGTTGCCACCGTAGCATTTGATTGGTTGATGCCAGCAAGCATTTGGCCTCCCTTGATAAAAACATTAATTTAGCCAATCAGCATTGAGCTGAGCTCAACTGTGGGTTGTCCTGACGCAGCAAAACACACCCCAAGGGAGGCCAGTTTGGATTTGGTTTCACACCAATCAAATCACATCCAAAGAAAAATGTCATTGTCAGAAACACATCCCTGTTTCTGGTCTGCTTGTGTTGTTGTCCTGCAGTAGCTAGCTTGCTAAATCTGCCTTTTCCTACAACATGGATGGAGATGGGGATTTGGACCTGTGGTTTTGACTTAATTGATTATGACAGCAATTCTGATCTAACCATGAATTCATATATTGTGCCACTGGCCTGAGACAATTGAAGCTCAATATGTATCCTAGATGTCGCCTAGTAGGATCATGTTAACTAGCTAGCTAGATAACTTAGCTGATTCGTTGTTGCCCATGTGAGGAAGTTAGGCTAGCAAGCATTTTAGCTAGGTAACCTATGACAACAAAAACTAAAAGCGTACTGTATGACAGACCCATATACCGTTTTGCCAACATGAAGAGCGGAGGATGGCATCGGCTTTCAACTGGTCTACGAGTTGCACACGCATGCACGCACACACACACACACACACACACACACACACACACACACACACACACACACACACACACACACACACAGACAGACAGACAGACAGAGAGAGAGAAATCAGTACCATTGACAGCCACATGATATTTAGGAATTTTGATTGGACCAATTTTTTAAAAGTTTTAAGGGGTAGATCAGAAGAAGTTGTCAGATTGAAGTTTCAATCAATTTAATTTTCTGCATCATTTCCAATCCCCCATATATATTTTTTGTAAATATATATATATATATATATATATATACAGTGAGGGAAAAAAGTATTTGATCCCCTGCTGATTTTGTATGTTTGGCCACTGACAAAGAAATTATCAGTCTATAATTTTAATGGTAGATTTATTTGAACAGTGAGAGACAGAATAACCAAAAAAATAATACAGAAGAATGCATGTCTAAAATGTTATAAATTGATTTGCATTTTAATGAGGGAAATAAGTATTTGACCCCCTCTCAATCAGAAAGATTTCTGGCTCCCAGATGTCTTTTATACAGGTAACGAGCTGAGATTAGGAGCACACTCTTAAAGGGAGTGCTACTAATCTCAGCTTGTTACCTGTATAAAAGACACCTGTCCACAGAAGCAATCAATCAATTAGATTCCAAACTCTCCACCATGGCCAAGACCAAAGAGCTCTCCAAGGATGACAGGGACAAGATTGTAGACCTACACAAGGCTGGAATGGGCTACAAGACCATCGCCAAGCAGCTTGGTGAGAAGGTGACAACAGTTGGTGCGATTATTCGCAAATGGAAGAAACACAAAATAACTGTTAATCTCCCTCGGCCTGGGGCTCCATGCAAGATCTCACCTCGTGGAGTTGCAATGATCATGAGAATGGTGAGGAATCAGCCCAGAACTATACGGGAGGATCTTGTCAATGATCTCAAGTCAGCTGGGACCATAGTCACCAAGAAAACAATTGGTAACAAACTACGCCGTGAAAGACTGAAATCCTGCAGCGCCCGCAAGGTCCCCCTGCTCAAGAAAGCACATATACAGGCCCATCTGAAGTTTGCCAATGAACATTTGAATGACTCAGAGAAGAGAACTGGGTGAAAGTGTTGTGATCAGATGAGACCAAAATCGAGCTCATTGGCATCAACTCAACTCGCCGTGTTTGGAGGAGGAGGAATGCTGCCTATGACCCCAAGAACACCATCCCCACCGTCAAACATGGAGGTGGAAACATTATGCTTTGGGGGTATTTTTCTGCCAAGGGGACAGGACAACTTCACCGCATCAAAGGGACGATGGACGGGGCCATGTACCGTCAAATCTTGGGTGAGAACCTCCTTCCCTCAGCCAGGGCATTGAAAATGGTTCGTGGATGGGTATTCCAGCATGACAATGACCCAAAACACACGGCCAAGGCAACAAAGGAGTGGTTCAAGAAGAAGCACATTAAGGTCCTGGAGTGGCCTAGCAAGTCTCCAGACCTTAATCCCATAGAACATCTTTGGAGGGAGCTGAAGGTTCGAGTTGCCAAACGTCAGGCTCGAAACCTTAATGACTTGGAGAAGATCTGCAAAGAGGAGTGGACAAAATCCCTCCTGAGATGTGTGCAAACCTGGTGGCCAACTACAAGAAACGTCTAACCTCTGTGGTTGCCAACAAGGGTTTTGCCACCAAGTACTAAGTCATGTTTTGCAGAGGGTCAAATACTTATTTCCCTCATTAAAATGCAAATCAATTTATAACATTTTTGAGATGCGTTTTTCTGGATTTTTTTGTTGTTATTCTGTCTCTCACTGTTCAAATAAACCTACCATTAAAATTATACTGATCATGTCTTTGTCAGTGGGCAAACGTACAAAATCAGCAGGGGATTAAATACTTTTTCCCTCACTGTATATATATATATATATATATATATATATATATATATATATATACAGTTGAAGTCGGAAGTTTACATACACCTTAGCCAAAAACATTTAAACTCAGTTTTTCACAATTCCTGACATTTAATCCTAGTAAAAATTGCCTGTCTTAGGTCAGTTAGGATCACCACTTTATTTTATGAATGTGAAATGTCAGAATAATGTTAGAGAGAATGATTTATTTCTGCTGTTATTTCTTTCATCACATTCACAGTGGGACAGAAGTTACACCAGCTCTGTCAGGAGAAATGGGCCAAAATTCACCCAACTTATTGTGGGAAGCTTGTGGAAGGCTACCCGAAATGTTTGACCCAAGTTAAACAATTAAAAGGTAATGCTACCAAATACAAATTGAGTGTATGTAAACTTCGGACTCACTGGGAATGTGATGAAATAAATAAAAGCTGAAATAATTCATTATCTCTACTATTATTCTGACATTGCACATTCTTAAAATAAAGAAAATATTTATATATAAATTCCAGTCGTACTTTATCAAAAGCCTTTTCAAAGTCAGCTATGAATACCAGGCCTGATTTCCCTGATTTGTCATAGTGTTCTATTGTTTCCAGTATGGTTTCTTGATTGGACTAAATTGTTTTTGGTATCTTTAAGTTTGTTTTCACTGTATTAAACTAAGCATACACTGTATAAATCCTAGTTGATTTGATTATGTTTAAATGTTGAAGTGGAAATGGTGCTGGAATAGCGGAGGCAGTGCTCCTGTTGCTTTTGTGCTGACTTGCGGTAACTCCATGATTCTAAATCAGTAGTTGTTTATTAAACTGTGGAAAACATTAACTTGCTTGACCATGCTGTAGGCCATGTAACTGTTTGTTACATGCTATATTTGCTTTGTCGACTTCACAGGACAGATTTTTCCCTTGTGGTTTTGTGATGAAACAAACATTTGTGTAGTTGAATTTATTCCACCACTGTGTGACTGTTGTCTTTTTGTTGTCTCGGCCTTATTGTATATCACGGTGGCGTATGAACGAATGGGTTACAGAGCAAACAACGCAATTATCACAACATAGGATGTAATATGGCATTTTTACTAGCTTGGCGAGACAATACCAGTATCGCGATACTCGTTAGTATCGTGGCAATGGAACAAAACATGAAGCGGATTTAACTTCTTTAGGAAAACAGCCCTAATGTTGGAAACAAACATCATTATGTTGTCATCCAGAGTCACATTTATTTATTTTCCAAGCTGATACCGGTTCCCACTGACATTTTCGCGTATAAATTGATCTGTGGACACCATAGATCGAAATGGCTAGCATTGAGCAATAGCCCTGGTTGCCACGGACACAGTAGTGTATTTTGTTCGCCTGTGTGAAATTTGAAACCACTTGAAGCTGTAATGTCCCTCCTACCATTTCATTCGCTCTTCCGACTGTCCATCAACTCCTGGCTGAACCCTATGTCACAGCCACTGACAAAGCACATGCCTGCAATCCTTACATCTTAACACAGCAGGAGAGAATGGTTTAATCATTATAGCACATTAATAATAATAAATAATAATAATATGCCATTTAGCAGACGCTTTTATCCAAAGCGACTTACAGTCATTCAGAGATCGAGTAATAACCATTAATCTAAAATATTTCATAGATTTTAAACAAACAAAAAAACTTTCTGTTTGTCATAGATGGACAAGATTAATATGAAATGAAAGGTGAGTTCCTAGCGAGTTCAGGAAGCCATACTAGAGCTCTGTGTAACGTTCACAGCAGTGGGGGTAGATGTTTTGATCAAGAGAAACCTTTAGAAAATATGCACATTTTCTCTAACACTAAACATACAAATATGTATTTTACAGTTATAAGGAAGGTGAAATCTTATAGTTAGTGATTATACTGTATTTAGAAAGCATATAAGTCATTTCAAGCCCCTCTACTGACCATACTGGTACCAGACCTGTGTCAAATACATGAAAGTGTTTGAGACTTGGTGTCCTTGAATTAGTTTGGAGTTTGTACTTTTGGGACTATTCCATTGGTACCGGGTAAACTAAATCCAATGCAACTCAAAGTATTTGAAAGTATTTGACATACAGTATGTATTTGACCCAGGTCTGACTGGTAACCCATCACACTTCCACAACCAGCCTCTAGTCGTATAATCATACTAGTAATAATACTGGTAACAGTCTGGCTATACTGGCCATACTGGTCCCCCCAGGACCCACCACACTGAAGCTGGACACGCTGTACTCTGCACATCCCTGCTGGTTGCAGGCCTGCTGGCTTTCCGGCCTGGGAAGTTGCTGGGAGACGCAGTAAGAGTCATCCACCACATGGGGTGCCATCGAGTCCTGCACCATGCACTGCACGCTGCGGTGCTGAGTGCCACTGTTGCAGGGGGCTGAGCACTCGGACCAGGCGCTGTATGTGTAGGCGTACGTGAGGGACTCGCGGTAGCGGAGGTTGGCAGCAGGAGCGGGAGGGGCGGGCGCCACATCACGGTCCATGCCCAGGATTTCTCCATTGCTCACTGCCTAGAGAAGGAAAATATAGGAGGATTACATAGTCAAACAACATCCCTGAACAGATGACACATTTACATTTACATTTACGTCATATATCCAGAGAATATGACACAGTCATATTCCCCACCACAACCTCCCTCCCATCCCCAGGCCTGGTACACTCCTGCCCCCCATGGCAGCCCAAACCCTGCAACAGGAGCCACGCCAAGGCCTCCTGTGCACACCCAGAATGGAGCATTGGCAGTCACTGCGGTCTGCTGCAGCAGCTCCACTCCTTTGGCGGGAGCTTCATCCGGGTGGACTGAACTATGCCACTACTGCTCTCCCAGTTCCCACCCCAGCGACCTGAGGGAGCTCTGTCAAATGCTCATTCTGCTCTGCTCTCACGTTGTTGGCCAGGGACCTTGGCAAAGTCTCAGCTCAATCAGCAAATAGCTGCAGATGACCCTATGCCTGTAAGCTGTTATGGGAGTTAGCTAAATACTCCCTCTGACTTTAAATCTCGTAGGGGGCTTGGGCTAATGCACCTAAATATGCGAAGTATGATTACAAAAATGGACACAATTGACATTTGGGTGCAGGACTCATGTCCTGACATTCTGCTTCTCTCAGAAACCTGGTTAAATGGTTCTGTCTCTGATAAAGACATTGAAGTAAATGACTATAATGTATTTAGATGTGACAGATTACAGAAAAGGGGAGGAGTGGCCATATACAGTGCATTCGAAAAGTATTCAGACCCCTTCACTTTTTCCAAATTTTGTTATGTTTAGTATTAGATTTTTTAAAAAATCCTCATCAATCTACACACAATACCCCATAATGACAAAGTGAAAACAGGTTGTTAGAAATGTTTGCAAAGTTATAAAAAATACAAAACAGAATTACCTTATTTACATAAGTATTCAGACCCTTTGCTATGAGACTCGAAATTGAGCTCAGGTGCATCCTGTTTCCATTGATCATCCTTGAGATGTTCCTACAACTTGATTGGAGTCCACCTGTGGTAAATTCAATTGATTGGACATGATTTGGAAAGGCACACACCTGTCTATATAAGGTCCCACAGTTGACAGTGCATGTCAGAGCAGAAACCAAGCCAGGAATTGTCCGTAGAGCTCCGAGACAGGATTGTGTCAAGGCACAGATCTGGGGAAGGGTACCAAAACATTTCTGCTGCATTGAAGGTCCCCAAGAACACAGTGGCCTCCATCATTCTTAAATGGAAGAAGATTGGAACCACCAAGACTCTTCCTAGAGCTGGCCGCCCGGCCAAACTGAGCAATCGGGGGAGAAGTGCCTTGGTCGGGGGGTGACCAAGAACCCGATGGTCACTCTGACAGAGCTCCAGAGATCCTCTGTAGAGATGGGAGAACCTTCCAAAAGGACAACCATCTCCGCAGCACTCCACCAATCAGGCCTTTATGGTAGAGTGGCCAGATGGAAGCCACTCCTCAGTAAGGCACCTAATGGACTCTCAGACCATGAGAAGCAAGATTCTCTGGTCTGATGAAACCAAGATTCAACTCTTTGGCCTGAATGCCAAGTGTCATGTCTGGAGGAAACCTGGCACAATCCCTACTGTGAAGCATGGTGGTAGCAGCATCATCCTGTGGAGATGTTTTTCAGTGTCAGGGACTGGGAGACTAGTCAGGATCGAGGGAAAGATGAACGGAGAAAAGTACAGAGAGATCCTTGATGAAAACCTGCTCCAGAGCGCTCAGGACCTCAGACTGTGGTGAAGGTTCACCTTCCAACAGGACAATGACCCTAAGCACACAGCCAAGACAAAGCGGGAGTGGCTTCGGGACAAGTCTTTGAGTGTCCTTGACAAGTTTCTGAATGTCTTTGAGTGGCCCAGCTAGAGCCTGGACCTGAACCAAATCAAACAACTCTGGTGAGACCTGAAAATAGCTGTGCAACGACTCTCCCCATCCAACCTGACAGAGCTTGAGAGGATCTGCAGAGAAGAATGGGAGAAGCTCCCCAAATATAGGTGTGCCAAGCTTGTAGCGTCATACCCAAGAAGAGTCAAGGCTGTAATCGCTGCCAAAGGTGCTTCAACAAAGTACTGAGTAATGGGTCTGAATACTTATGTAATTGTGATATTTCTGTTTTTTATTTGCTTTTTCATTATGGGGTATTGTGTGTAGATTGATGAGGGAAAAAAATCTATTTAATTAATCTTAGAATAAGGCTGTAACATAACAAAATGTGGAAAAAGTCAAGGGGTCTGAATACTTTCCATATGCACATGTAATAGTTTGCCAAACTGTTCGGATGCTACAGACGATTTTGTGAGAAGACCGATTTTCGGGATGCCTCATGGTCTGACAAACACCGCTCTAGCTCTGTCACCTTTCACCGCAGATGCGGAAGTGCGACATCAGCGGATGTAGTGGATTGAGACGCATCCCTTGCAAAACTGATATCTCTGGCTTAAATTGATGTGTTTTTTATGGGGATGTTTTATTATTACGCTCATTTCATTTCCGCGGGGCGCGGACATCGACTCTAGTGGGTAAAATTGTATGTTTTGGTGCCTCTAGGGCAATTCAGAAAGCTGATTGAGAACCTTATTACTGATAAATGTGTTTGTTTTTTATGATCGTGTTTTTCTTTCAGAGCTCATCCGTAAAAGAGACCTTGGTCTCAGTATTACTCCCTGATAAAAATGAAGGTTAATATTTTTTTAAAAATATATTTCAGAGAAAGGGGATAGACAGATAGAGAGAAATTTCTCATTTATTTTCCAATTCAACAAGCATGTTGAAGTAACTACCTACCCACTGGGCACAGATGTCAATTGAACATCTATTCCACATCAGTTCAATGTAATGTCATTGAAATGAGGTGGAAACAATGTTGATTCAACCAGAGTGTGCCCAGTGGGTAAGTACTAAGTACTAACCCTACAGATGCCGTCGATACAGATGTCACTGCGGCCCACATAGCAGGGTGTGCCATCCACCACAGAAGGCCTGTGTCTGTAGAAGAAGTTCTCTCCATGGGGGACGCAGTTCAGCTCACATGGGTTGGATGCTTCACAGGTAAACAACAACAGGTAAACAACATACAGTACATTAGTATTTCTTTGTGTATGGGTAATGTAGAAATGGGTAATAATCCATAGTGAAATGTTAAACTATTATTTGCATCAATATTACAGTTTCTTTCAATAGCTCTGCTGCAATTTTCACAAGTATGTGGTACATTTTCACAATGCTTAGTACAAAACTCAAAACAGATCATCAAAAAGGCCGTTGTTTCAAAAGTATTTAGTCAGCCACCAATTGTGCAAGTTCTCCCACTTAAAAAGATGAGAGAGGCCTGTAATTTTCATCATAGGTACACGTCAACTATGACAGACAAAATGAGAAAAGAATTTCCAGAAAATCACATTGTAGGATTTTTAATGAATTTATTTGCAAATTATGGTGGAAAATAAGTATTTGGTCACCTACAAACAAGCAAGATTTCTGGCTCTCACAGACCAGTAACTTCTTCTTTAAGAGGCTCCTCTGTCCTCCACTCATTACCTGTATTAATGGCACCTGTTTGAACTTGTTATCAGTATAAAAGACACCTGTCCACAACCTCAAACAGTCACACTCCAAACTCCACTATGGCCAAGACCAAAGAGCTGTCAAAGGACACCAGAAACAAAATTGTAGACCTGCACCAGGTTGGGAAGACTGAATCTGCAATAGGTAAGCAGCTTGGTTTGAAGAAATCAACTGTGGGAGCAATTATTAGGAAATGGAAGACATACAAGACCACTGATATTCTCCCTCGATCTGGGGCTCCACGCAAGATCTCACCCAGTGGGGTCAAAATGATCACAAGAACGGTGAGCAAAAATCCCAGAACCACACGGGGGGACCTAGTGAATGACCTGCAGAGAGCTGGGACCAAAGTAACAAAGCCTACCATCAGTAACACACTACGCCGCCAGGGACTCAAATCCTGCAGTGCAAGTACATGTCCAGGCCCGTCTGAAGTTTGCTAGAGTGCCTTTGGATGATCCAGAAGAGGATTGGGAGAATGTCATATGGTCAGATGAAACCAAAATATAACTTTTTGATAAAAACTCAACTCGTCGTGATTTGAGGACAAAGAATGCTGAGTTGCATCCAAAGAACACCATACCTACTGTGAAGCATTGGGGTGGAAACATCATGCTTTGGGGCTGTTTTTCTACAAAGGGACCAGGACGACTGATCCGTGTAAAGGAAAGAATGAATGGGGCCATGTATCGTGAGATTTTGAATGAAAACCTCCTTCCATCAGCAAGGGCGTTGAAGATGAAATGTGGCTGGGTCTTTCAGCATGACAATGATCCCAAACACACCGCCCGGGCAACGAAGGAGTGGCTTCGTATGAAGCATTTCAAGGTCCTGGAGTGGCCTAGCCAGTCTCCAGATCTCAACCCCATAGAACATCTTTGGAGGAAGTTGAAAGTCTGTGTTGCCCAGCGACAGCCCCAAAACATCACTGATCTAGAGGAGCTCTGCATGGAGGAATGGGCCAAAATACCAGCAACAGTGTGTGAAAACCTTGTGAAGACTTACAGAAAACATTTGACCTGTGTCATTGCAAACAAAGGGTATATAACAAAGTATTGACAAACTATTGTTATTGACCAAATACTTATTTTCCACCATAATTTGCAAATAAATTCATTAAAAATCCTACAATGTGATTTTCTGGAAATTCTTTTCTCATTTTGTCTGTCATAGTTGACGTGTACCTATGATGAAAATTACAGGCCTCTCTCATCTTTTTAAGTGGGAGAACTTGCACAATTGGTGGCTGACTAAATACTTTTTTCCCCACTGTAGGTCTGGATTGATGTCATTGCATGCCTCATCCATTGTACTGTAATACTTAATATATGCCACTTACGTAGCACGTTTTAATCCAAAGTGACAACAGTCCACATATTTTCGTATGTTACCCCATTGGGAATCGAACCCACAATTCTGGTGTTGCTAGTGCCATGCGCTTACTAACTGAGCCACACATGACCAATACAATACGTAAATACAATACAATACTACAAAATACAATACATGATTACAATACTGTGAAAGGTGTATGTTTGCCATCCCCATGAGCATGTCACCCTTCTGCAATGTGGATGAGAACCTATGTTCAAATGCTCAAGACAGGCTTGATGCAAACTAGTACCTGCTAAATGTTATGTTTATTTATTTCATTTCATTTGTTTCATTTGCAGTGCATTATGTTGTAATTATTATTATTATTTATTTATTTTGGGGGTAGATCAGCTTAATATTGCAGATAGATTGTAACTTCCATCAATGTAATTGTCTGCATCACTTCCAATCCCCCATGTTTTTTTATTTATATACACACATATATATATATACATATACATATATATATATATATATATATATATATATATATATATATATACATACATACATACATACATACATGCACATACATATCCTTTAACATATATATATATATATTCCCCTTTATTACTTTCCAACCCCACCACCCTTTCCCCACTTGGAGTAAACTAGTGAACAACAACGCCTAGGCCTCTACTTCCAGCCCATACCCACTATCTACATTTTATGGACACAGTCAACTTTACAGTAATTATATTTTGTTTGTTCTTTCTCCTGAACTTCTTCTACTCTCAACCTCTCCGATCATTTTCATGATGTCCATCCAGTTTGCTTCTATATGCCATATCTTTCTAATTGTGCTTCTTCACAAAAGCTCCCAACCTACAACCCATACACTTATTATGGACACAGTGTGCCTACATTATTAGTTATCTTGTTATTGTTTGTTGTTAGTTGTTATTAGTCCCATCCTTCAATTCCATTCAACACCTCCCATCTATATTTTAACACCATCCATATAGGATTTCTATTTGCCATATATATTTCAACTGTACTGTGATGTCTTACAAAAGTTCTGAACCTTTCTATTCTCATTGTTTCTACAGATTGTGAATTGAAAATAAACATTTTTGCTAATAGTATTATTTTGTTGTTGATCGATTGACTATGACTTTTCAGATCTCCCAGTAGTGCTATCTGCAGGGTTAGCTCCAGGTAAATATTGCAATCCTTTAGCCATTCCTGGACCTATGTCCAAAAACAAGCTACAAATGGACAGTACCAAAACAAATGAAAACAAATGATGTAATGATTCTGTCTCTTCGCAGCAAAATCTGCAGAGCTGGGAAGATTGTATCCCCCATATAAATAACATTATATTGGTAGCAAGAATTTTATATAATAATTTAAATTGAAAGATTCTAAGTTTTGAATCCGGTGTCGTTTTGCGTGTCCGTTCATAAACACTATGCCATGGGATCGGTACGTCAAAAATCTCTTCCCAACTATTTTGCAATCTATATGGGACGGCTGTCAAACCCTTGCTCCTTAAATGAAACTGATATACCTTTTTATTTATCACAGTTTTCCTTAACCAATTATGTTCTTTAATGCAAGGCCGACAGACAAGTTTCTTACTTTCTCCTCCTTCCACTTTCCTCTTCCATTTTTGCGGTAAGGCTGCAATGATTTGGTTGTAATTTTGGGTAGAGCAGACATTTCCATATGTTTTTGTTAGCTGCATGTGCGACATAACTCCACCAGTCCTAATGATGATATCATTTACACAGATTATACCTTTTTTACACATTTTGTCAAAAAAACGTTTTTTGTCAATTACTATATTTTGAGTTTAACCACAATATTTGTTGCATTATTTGTTCTGTCGTTTCTGGAGGATTAAATTGAAATTGCAACCAACTTTCTATGGCTTGTTTTAGAAATAGTGATATCTGGGAGATGATTTCCGATTTCAGATAATCAACGGTTGTAATATCCCAGAGCACAACTCAAGAAAGGACCTGATTTACGAATGCACATACAGTTACAGCTGATTGAGAAAGCATTCAAGATTGAGCAGAAATGGACAATGTCAGATTTGATTAATCTACTTAATTTATGTCAAGTCCTAGGTGATGGAGATCAGATCCACCCTCTTCACCTGAGACACAAACACTCTGGTCCCCCGTTGTAACCATTTTTCCCAAGCATCTCCGTGCAGTCAGACCTTTGATTATTTTGTGCCACCTGGGCCACAATGATAAACCCCCTCTCTGATTGTCCGAGTGTGACCCCCTCCCCATGGGTTACTGCAACTAGTGTTGCCAGCACTGCCACTACCTGGGTGGGGGTACCCCTTTCGGAATCCCCACCGGCTAGGTAAAAGGTCGTCAAGGTTCTCATTAGCAGCTTTGAGAATGTTCTTGTAGATAATGCTCTCCCATCAGGGGGCTCTGGCTTTGTAGGACCAACCCTGCCAGGCAGGCTCAGAATCTTGAGGCGGCGGTGCTGCTCAAGTAGGTCTCTGACCGCATTTATTTCTCGGTTTAGGCTGCATACTCACAGCAGGTCCATAAAAGAGATGGGAACTTCTCTTTGGTGTATGGGTCACTCAGGTGGGTGTCCAGGTTATAGGGTTGGGGATCTTTCCATCATAATAAAAAAAAAAATTAGATGTATACTATATTTAACAATGTATATCCCTCATCTACACAAAATTGAAAGCTCTCCCTCACTACCCCTGCTCATAGACACCCGTCGGCTCTAGGATATGCAACCATTTCCCCTCTCACTCAATTAACACCGCACCTTTTCAAACACAAAAATGCACACCACATGGTTGACTGCAGAGGAAATGGGCCGAGCGTGCAAACGCACCCACTTCCCACACCTGCCGCAAGGGGGAAAGGACGCCAGGGAGAACACAGGACCAACCCCAACAACCGTCCACCAAAACAACAATTGCCCGCCAAAAAAGCCATGTACTAATTAGTTGTATTTGAAGATGTATTATTCTGCTTGTTATCTTTTCTTGTTATATCGTTTTAACCTTTTTAAAATACTATACTTACTATAAATGTTATTTAATATTACAATCCCTATCATTGCTAGTATTGGGTGTTCCATTATTCAACTCCTCTATTACAACTTTTAGAATAGCCATGGAGTAGTCTTTGCGTCTCTGAACATTTGGTCTGAACAGTTTATCGACCACCAGTGCCACACGTTTCCCTTTTAATCTGTTTTCCTTGAAGATTGGATACAGAACTTTTCGCCTTTCTGCAATCTCCCTCGTGAACTGATCATTCATGCCTATTTTCGTGCCAGCAAGTCTTTTTCCTAGGCTTTTAACCATAGCTTTATCCTTGCATTTTTTGCTATTGGATTAACTGGTTGTTAAAACAACAAAATTGAGAAGATAACATTATGTTGTGTTTTGCTGATTAAATCAACGTGATCATAATATTTCACAGTAAACTTATATTTTGTGTCACACCCTGGCTCTGGGACTCTATATGTTGAGCCAGGGTGTGTTCATTCTATGTGTTATATTTCTATGTTGGGGGTTCTAGTTCTTCTGTTTCTTTGTTGGCCTGAGTGACTCCCAATCAGAGGCAACGAGTGTCAGCTGTGGCTGGTTGTCTCTGATTGGGAGCCATATTTAAACTGTCTGTTTTTCCTTGGTGTTTGTGGGTTTTTGTTCCAGTTGGTCATTGTCACCGTCACCTAGGACGTTACGAGTCGTTTTGTTGTTTTGTATCGTGTGTGCACTTTAACTAATTAAAGTATGTTCGCTCAACACGCTGCGCCTTGGTCCTCCTCTATGTATGACGATCGTGACAGAAAAACCCACCATACCAGGACCAAGCAGCGTGTCCAGGAGCAGGCAGCCTGGACGTGGGAGCAGATTTTGGACGGGCAGGGGTCCTGGACCTGGGAGGAAATCCTGGCCGGGATGGATCGCCGGCCATGGAGTGAGACTGTAGAGAGGCGACGGAGAGAGGAGCAACGGCGTGATCAGGGTCGTCGTCGGACGGTCGAGAGGCAACCCCAAATAATTTTTAGGTGGGGGGGGGCACAGGGCATGGACGACGGGGCTGACGGAGGCAGAAAAGGGGCGTATTCAGAAGGCCACCAGGTTACGGGGGCCACTGGTCAAAGTAGAGCCAGTGGTGTGTGTCCCCAGTACGGTCCGGCCTGTTACGGCCCCTCGCACCAAATGGACGGTGTGCGTCGCCAGCCCGGTCCGGCCTGTCCCTGCTCCTCGCACCAAGCCTACGGTGTGCGTCGCCAGCCCGGTCCGGCCTGTCCCTGCTCCTCGCACCAAGCCTACGGTGTGCGTCGCCAGCCCAGTCCGGCCTGTCCCTGCTCCACGCACCAAGCCTACGGTGTGCGTCGCCAGCCCGGTCCGGCCTGTCCCTGCTCCTCGCACCAAGCCTACGGTGTGCGTCGCCAGCCCGGTCCGGCCTGTCCCTGCTCCTCGCACCAAGCCTACGGTGTGCGTCGCCAGCCCGGTCCGGCCTGTCCCTGCTCCTCGCACCAAGCCTACGGTGTGCGTCGCCAGCCCGGTCCGGCCTGTCCCTGCTCCTCGCACCAAGCCTATGGTGTGCGTCGCCAGCCCGGTCCGGCCTGTCCCTGCTCCACGCACCAAGCCTACGGTGTGCGTCGCCAGCCCGGTCCGGCCTGTTCCTACTCCACGCACCGAGCCAGGGGTGCGCATCGTCAGCCCGGCCCGGCCTGTTCCTGCCACTCGCACCAAGTCTACGGTGCGCGTCGCCAGCCCGGCCCGGCCTGTTCCTGCCAATCGCACCAAGCCAGGGGTGCAAGTCGTCAGCCTGGTCCGGCCCGTTCCTACTCCACACACCAAGCCAGGGGTGCGCATCGTCAGCCCGGCCCGGCCTGTTCCTGCCACTCGCACCAAGTCTACGGTGCGCGTCGCCAGCCCGGCCCGGCCTGTTCCTGCCAATCGCACCAAGCCAGGGGTGCGAGTCGTCAGCCTGGTCCGGCCCGTTCCTACTCCACGCACCAAGCCAGGGGTGCGAGTCGTCAGCCTGGTTCGGCCCGTTCCTACTCCACGCACCAAGCCAGGGGTGCGAGTCGTCAGCCCGGTCCGGCCCGTTCCGGCTCCACGCACCAAGCCAGGGGTGCGCGTCGTCAGTCCAGCACAACCCGTGCCTGGGTCACCGGTGCCTGGTAAGGTACCGGTCAACGGCTCCACTACGGAGCTGAAGCTAACCGCTCCTGCTACGTCCAGTTCAGCTCCAGCCAGCGGGGCCAGACCGGACCAGGGGCGCTATGGGGGGTTTATTGGAGGGTGGTGGGCAAGGCCGGAGCCAGAACCGCCGCCGAGGAGGAATGCCCACCCAGCCCTCCCCTGTTTTGTTCTAGTGGAGGCGCGGTCGCAGTCCGCGCCTTTAGGGGGGGGGTACTGTCACACCCTGGCTCTGGGACTCTATATGTTGAGCCAGGGTGTGTTCATTCTATGTGTTATATTTCTATGTTGGGGGTTCTAGTTCTTCTGTTTCTTTGTTGGCCTGAGTGACTCCCAATCAGAGGCAACGAGTGTCAGCTGTGGCTGGTTGTCTCTGATTGGGAGCCATATTTAAACTGTCTGTTTTCCCTTGGTGTTTGTGGGTTTTTGTTCCAGTTGGTCATTGTCACCTAGGACGTTACGAGTCGTTTTGTTGTTTTGTATCGTGTGTGCACTTTAACTAATTAAAGTATGTTCGCTCAACACGCTGCGCCTTGGTCCTCCTCTATGTATGACGATCGTGACATTTTGGATCAATGGTTGTGTGGTAAAAGGTTTTGAATATGAGACTGCGTTACAACTGTTACCAGTTTTGAGTTTTGTACTAAGAGTTTAGAAAATTCCCCACATACTTGTGAAAATAGCATCAAAGCGATAAAAAAAACTGTACGGCAATAATCCCTATTGCACCTCCATGGTAAGGCAGCCAGGTGTAGCGTTTGCTCTGGAAGTCCATCCTATTAAACTGGGCACACTGCTCCTCACGGAAATCCCTGGATCCCGCTGGACATGCCTGCATAGAGCAATTACAGACAATGTCAGTCTGTTAGTGTTTACATGGGAGACAGCGAGAGAGAGATTGTGTGTGTGTGTGTGTGTGTGTGGACGTGTTTAACTATTCTTGTGGGGACCAGAAGTCCCCACAAGAATAGTAAACAAACAAAACCATCTGGGGACATTTTGTTGGTCCCCACAAGGTCAAATGCTATTTCTAGGGGGTTTAGGGTTAAGGTTAGAATTAGTGTTAGGGTTAGAATTACGTTAAGGGTTAGGGTTAGGAGCTAGGGCTAGTTTTAGGGTTAGGAGCTAGGGTTAGGTTTAGGGTTAAGGTTAAGGTTATGTTTTTGGGTTAGAGATAGGGTTAAGGTTAGGGGTTAGGGAAAATAGGATTTTGAATGGGACTGAATTGTGTGTCCCCACAAGGTTAGCTGTACAAGACTGTGTGTGTGCGCGTGCGTGTACCTGCATATTACAGGTGCGGTAAGATTTTGAAGATCCCACACAGTTGTTTCCTCCATCTGTCCTGCAAGTCAAAGAGAAGTAGAGTCAGAAAGACACACAATCATCATATTCTCTCTCTCTCTCTCTCTCTCTCTCTCTCTCTCTCTCTCTCTCTCTCTCTCTCTCTCTCTCTCTCTCTCTCTCTCTCGTGCGCGCGCTCTCTCGCACACTCGCTCTCTCTCTCTCTTTTACCTTGCAGTGATACATTGCCTTATCCTCATGGCTACTCCAGTGCCACAGGGTCGACTGCACGCCCCATAAGCCCCGTACTCCCCCCAGTAGTCATTGCTGGGAGCTGTTAGCTGGAACACAACAGCAGCCAGCACATCAAGCACTGAAACACCACTGTGCAGTAGTACACAGAGTACTCTACACCAGAATAGCAAGGGGAAAACATCCTATCACCACAAACCAATCCATATCATTACACAAACCCTTATTACATACCAGTATGGTAACGATAGAAAATCCCCACATTCCAGCTGTTTTTGTAAACAAAATAATACTATTTGTGTGCGTGTACATTCACAATGTCAACTTGAATTGTATTGTAGGCTATTGAGTTGTGTTGTATTCTTTTTGTTGTTTTATGTGGATGTTGTGTATGTGGTATTACTAGATTATCATATGTACTGTATTTCCTGTTTGTTTTTGTCTCGTTTGTCTTCCATTGAGGACCACATTGGAAATACGTTTTGTATAATACTGATATATTATCCTCAGGACTCTATACTTTTTACCTGTACTTGTTTTACACCCCAAAATAATACAATCAAAGAAGTATCACTTACAGATAATGATGGGACAGCCAGTAACTGTAGGAGAACCAGGACCAGTAGGATGGCCATGTTTACTAGGGAGTAAGTGCAATGATAGTGCTGCATGAGATACAGATACAGATTGTAAACACCTTACAGCAATGTCCATTTAAAGGGACATTTCTAAGAAATTCTACTTCATATTCATCATCTCTAGCATCAACATGTTTTGTGGTAAAAAAGATAGAGGAAGGTACTGTAAGTGTTTCCAATGACGTCATCAACCAATTAGTAGAACGTTTGTAGGCAATTAGTAGGCGATGCCTACTGATAATTGGTTAAAATCGCATGATGCACACTGATGTTGTCATTAGAAACACTTATGTTGATTTTAGGGTGGTGCTGGAGATGATGAATATGAAGAAAAAACATTTGTGACATTTCTCTTTAACATGTTTAATTTAACATCTGATCAACTTTTGGATTAATATGATTATATATATAATGATAATATATCATAACAAGAGTCTAATTGAAAATGACAATGAAAGTTGACCAAGAAATCGCTCTAAGGTGAAATTGTAATTTGCCTTATTTAATTCTTCCAACGACTACATCCTATTGGTGTGTATATTTTATATACAGACCATACAGACAGCTTTAACATTCACAGAGAGGACAAAATAACCACTTGTCACCACAAAAGACACATTCCCTAAAATGTTTGCAAAAATGTAACGAATATGAGAATATGATAATAGAATATATAGAATAATGATCATCATTCAATCGTACCTTATCAATATCTCTGTAGTTTAAATCCTCTCCTCTTGCCCAGCGTCCCAGAAGGAAGTGCACTCACCCAGAAGACAGGACAGCGACTGACACTCAGTTATCTGTCGTCTCCACCTCTCAGCTCTCAAAGCTGTTAGCTACAGATGTCCGGTTACAATTAACTCCTTGCATGAAATGAACACCTTTTATATCCAGTTCACTTGGATCCTTTCCACTTGGATTTTGCCCAGTCACACACTTTGCCTTCATATTTTATTTTAATCAAGAGATGACGATGCATGCATATTTTTGGGTAGAATTTGAAATGTTTGACATCAACTTTTCTTAAACGTTTCTTCTGTTCGTTCTAGCAATCTATGATATTAAACTCTGTCTGAAGTGACATCTAGGCTAATAATGTGTTAGTAGTACAGTAGTGTTTGTCATTATGTACAGTATTTGATACATCAGCTTTGTTGCAATTGCTATATTGTAAGGCAGGGCAGGGAAGAGAAGGACACCAATAGAGTAATCAATTACCTTAAATGTACCTTTTATTCTACAGTGCAGAACCTATCATTTACTTCAAAATTGGTAAAATGGTCATGGCACAATCATAACCTAGGAATTACAGCACTAAATCACTGTTCCTCTGGGATGCGATAGATCAAGCCCCACTTGGTAAAATTAAGTGCCACGAAGTTACCAGTTGTGTTGAAATATTTTAAGTAAGTACCAGAAAGTAACCATTCATACCACAAAAGTTCCTATAGTAGACCTACCATGTAAGTGGCCTACCATGTCAGTGGCATCAGTAGGCCTAGCGTAGAATAAAGTCAAACTTTTTTCATATGAAGATCATTGAAAGGACAATGATATTATCACAGCATTCAAAGCATAGATTGTAATGAGAAAATGTAAGATCACAAATGTCTATATTTAGTGTTATTGACCATATTTAGTCTCTGTAAATTATTTACATATCCTTCAATCCAGAAGTTTGTTGCCCAAACACTCAAGGTGTAGACTGATGGTCACTAGACTTGATTATGACTGTTATGATCAATATTGTTCTCTTATCTGATAGTGATTGATGCCAGAGCTAGTTACTGAAGGTCCAAGGACCAAGGCCAAACTGAGGATTCACATTTACATTTTTCGATTTTTATTTTATTAGGATCGACATCTAGTCTTACTGGGGTCCAACAAATAATGAAAAATACATTACAGACAAAAGACTACAATTTACATACAGTACCAGTCAAAGGTTTGTGGACACACCTACTCGTTCACGTTTTTTCCCCCTTCTATTTTCTACATTGTAGAATAATAGTGAAGACATCAAAACTATGAAATAACACATATGGAATCATGTAGTAACCAAACAAATGTTAAACAAATGAAAATATACTTTATTTTTGAGATTCTTCAAAGTAGCTACCCTTTGCCTTGATGACAGCTTTGCACACTCTTGGCATTCTCTCAACCAGCTTCTCCTGGAATGCTTTTCCAACAGTGTTGAAGGAGTTCCCACATATGCTGAGCACTCGTTGGCTACTTTTCCTTCACTCTGCGTTCAGACTCATCCCAAACCATCTCAATTGGATTGAGGTCGGGTGATTGTGGAGGCCAGGTCATCTGAAGCAGCATTCTATCACTCTACTTGGGGCGGCAGATAGCTTAGTGGTTAAGAGCGTTGTGCCAGTAACCAAAAGGTTGCTGGTTCAAATCCCCGAGCCGGCTAGGTGAAAAATCTGTCTGTGCCCTTGAGCAAGGCACTTAACCCTAATTGCTCCTGTAAGTCGCTCTGGATAAGAGCGTCTGCTAAATGACCAATTTATATACTTCTTGGTCAAATAGCACTTACACAGCCTGGAGGTGTGTTGGGTCATTGTCCTGTTGAAAAACAAATGATAGTCCCACTAAGCGCAAACCAGATGGGATGGTGTATCGCTGCAGAATGCTGTGGTAGCAATGCTGGTTAAGTGTGGCTTGAATTCTAAATAAATCATTGAGAGTGTCACCAGCAAGGCACCATCACACCTCCTCCTCCATGCTTCACGGTGGGAACCACACATGCGGAGATCATCCGTTCACCTACTCTCCATCTCACAAAGACACGGCGGTTGGAATCAAAAATCTCAAATATGGACTCATCAGACCAAAGGACAGATTTCCACCGGTCTAATATCCATTGCTCGTGTTTCTTGGCCCAAGCAAGTCTCTTCTTCTTATTGGTGTCCTTTAGTAGTGATTTCTTTGCAGAAATTAGACCATGAAGGCCTGACTCACGCAGTCTCCTCTGAACAGTTGATGTTGAGATGTTTCTGTTACTTGAATTCTGTGAAGCATTTATTTGGGCTGCAATTTCTGAGGCTGGTAACTCTAATGAACTTATCCTCTGCAGCAAAGGTAACTCTTGGTCTTCCTTTCCTGTGGCAGTCCTCATGAGAGCCAGTTTCATCATAGTGCCTGATGGTTTTTGCGACTGCACTTGAAGAATTCTTTCAAAGTTCTTGAATTGTTCCATATTGACTGACCTTCATGTCTTAAAGTAATGATGGACTGTCATTTCTCTTTGCTTATTTGAGCTGTTCTTGCCATAATATGGACTTGGTCTTTTACCAAATAGGGCTATCTTCTTCATACAAACCCTACCTTGTCACAACACAACTGATTGGCTCAAACACATTAAGAAGGAAATACATTCCACAAATTAATTTTTAACAAGGCACACCTGTTAATTGAAATGCTTTCTAGGTGACTACCTCATGAAGCTGGCTGAGAGAATGCCAAGAGTGTGCAAAGCTGTCATCAAGGCAAAGGGTGGCTACTTTGAAGAATCTAACATCTAAAAGATATTTTGATTTGTTTAAAAAAAAAATGGTTACTACATGATTCCATATGTGTTTTTTCCTAGTTTTGATGTCTTCACTGTTATTCTACAATGTAGAAAATAGTAAAAATAAAGAAAAACCCTTGAATGAACAGGTGTGTCCAATCTTTTGACTGGTACTGTATATCTAAAACATGAACATGTAGTGTGATTGTGTGTCTACATCTATCAGTTACACATACATGTCAGTATATACACACAAAAAGTAGGTCACATAGGGGAGAGGCGCTGTGCCATGAGGATTTGCTTTATTTGTTTTTTGATACCAGGCTTGTTGTTCACTTGCGCTATATGAAATGGAAGGGATTTCCATGCAATCATGGCTCTGTATAATACTCTACATTTCCTTGACTTTGTGCTGGTGGCATGTCTGGTGAGTTAAGTGTGTGTGTCAGTGCTCTGTGTAAGTTGACTAAGCAAACAATTTGGAATTTCCAACACATTGATGTTTCTTATAAAAACAAGAAGCAGGTCTAGAATGTTTCTAGCAGTTTTAGAATGGGTGGCAAGTAACAAACTGGTCCTGAACATCTCTAAAACTGAGAGCATTGTATTTGGTACAAATCATTCCCTAAGTTCTAGACCTCAGCTGAATCTGGTAATGAATGGTATGGCTGTTGAGCAAGTTGAGGAGACTAAATTACTTGGTGTTACCTTAGATTGTAAACTGTCATGGTGAAAACATATAGATTCAATGGTTGTAAAGATGGGGAGAGGTCTGTCCGTGATAAAGAGATGCTCTGTTTTTTTGACACCACACTCCACAAAGCAAGTCCAGCAGGCTCTAGTTTTATCTTACTGTATCTTGATTATTGTCCAGTCATTATAAAAAAATTGAAAGAACATGGCACCACAACAAACCTGCCAAGAGAGGGCCGCCCACCAAAACTCATGGACCAGGCAAGGAGGGCATTAATCAGAGAGGCAACAAAGAGACGAAAGATAACCCTGAAGGAGCTGCAAAGCTCCACAGCGGAGATTGGAGTATCTGTCCATAGGACCACTTTAAGCCCCACAGAGCTGGGCTTTACGGAAGAGTGGCCAGAAAAAAGCCATTGCTTAAAGAAAAAAATAAGCAAACACGTTTGGTGAATAGTTATGCACGCTCAAGTTTTCAGTTTTTTTGTCTTATTTCTTGTTTGTTTCACCCCCCAAAATATTTTGCATCTTCAAAGTAGTAGGCATGTTGTGTAAATCAAATGATACAAACCCCCCCAAAAAATCAATTTTAGTTCTAGGTTGTAAGGCAACAAAATAGGAAAAATGCCAAGGGGGGGTGAATACTTTCACAAGCCACTGTATACTGTATAAACTGTGTGAGCTGTTGCTCTATTTTAGGGGCCTGGGTTTTCCTTATTACATACATTCACATCAATAAAAGCATTGAGTATCACAGTTGGAAAATACGTGCTTAAAACGTACAGAGAAAACAGCTTATGAGTTATGTCCTTTAACGGTTTGTTTGTGGTTCATTCCGACCACTGAAAGTCCCTTTCACACACCCCACAACCACAATCCCACTAAACACACACTGATAAATCACATGAGAAGAGCAGTGGGAGGCGCCAAGTCGCTGAAATCGCCTTAAGGGGTTACTTACGAGTTATTTCAGTGTGATACCACCGAGAAAGACTAATGCCAGGGTGGTGAAGGAATCGTGCCCTTTTTCTATATGTTAGAGAACCGTAGTAGCGGTTCCCATGCCACGTTTTAAACCAGACGAAAGAGGAGACATTACTGGTTCTCTGCTGTGGAACAAACAGCCAAACGGAATGCCGGAATATATACTTTAATTTAATCAGTAGGCTATCTATCCTGGGGAGAGAATGGGGAGGGAGAGGGAAAGAGAGACAGAGAGAGAGCGACAGAGAGGGAGAGAGACAAACAGAGAGAGACAGACAGAGAGAGCAAGAGACAGAGGATTGAGAGAAAGAAGGAAAGAGGGAAAGAGGGGGGTGGACAGAGATTAAAAAAGGACAAGACAGAGAGCTGGAGAAAGGGACATAGAAAGGGACAAGACAGAGAGCTGAAGAAAGGGACAGAGAAAGGGACAAGACAGAGAGCTGGAGAAAGGGACAGAGAAAGGGACAAGACAGAGAGCTGGAGAAAGGGACAGAGAAAGGGACAAGACAGAGAGAAAACGGTAATGATAGGGAACAAATGCTACTGTAATTCAGCCCATACATACAGGCTAGGACCTCTCAACTGAGACACAATTTATGATTTACTGTGGGTCCAATCAACAAAAATGTTCTCCGTTGGATGACGTTAAGTGTCCTCCGTTAACCTGAGAGCGCCCAAATCACACTAGGTACTATAGTTATTTTTGTAGAATTGTCCTGAAGAACTTTGGTGACTATCTTTCAGGTGCTCGTGTGAGCGACTGGGTTCAAACCCAGGGTCTCATGCATGCCACAAGACTGTTGGCCCGCTGAACTAAAGCCTAGGAATTAGCTCAGGGAGCTAACACCTGTCTTCACGTCTCAAACAAGACTCTGTTAAACTTGCATAGGCTCAGATATGACTGATTTCTTATTGATTGACTCATCTCTCAAAATCACAAACTGCAACATAGAATACCAAAAAGTCAATTATGTGAGTGTGAACCTAATGGGAGCTTATTCAGATCAATGGATATTTTTTTCTCTGTGCGCTCATTCAGCTCATCCTACAGCTAAACCGTCTCCAGCCAGCCACCTCTCCCTTTCTGCCTGGCCACATCCCAATGAGAGGGACCACACACACTCTCAGATCAACTCATAAACTGAAAATACTCTCACAATACATACATGTCCACCACCTACAGTGCATTCAGAAATTGTTCAGACCCCTTGACTTTTTCTAAATGTTGTTACGTTACAACCTTATTCTAAAATTGATTAAATAAAACATTTCCTCATCAATCTACACACAATACCCCATAATGACAAAGCGAAAACAGGATTTTTAGAAATTTTTGCAAATGTATTAAAAATAAAAAACAGAAATCCCTTATTTACATAAGTATTTAGACCCTTTGCTATGAGACTCGAAATTGAGCTCAGGTGCATCCTGTTTCCATTGATCCTCCTTGAGATGTTTCTACAACTTGATTGGAGTCCACCTGTGGTATATTCAATTGATTGGACATGATTCGGAAGGCACACAACTGTCTATATAAGGTCCCACAGTTGACAGTGCCTGTCAGAGCAAAAACCAAGCCATGAGTCGAAGGAATTGTCTGTAGAGCTCCAAGACAGGATTGTGTCGAGGCACCAATCTGTGGAAGGGTACCAAAATATTTCTGCAGCATTGAAGGTTCCCAAGAACACAGTGGCCTCCATCATTCTGAAATGGAAGAAGTTTGCCAAACCGCCCGGCCAAACTGAGCAATCTGGAGAGAAGGGCATTGGTCAGGGAGGTGACCAAGAACCCGATGGTCACTCTGACAGAGCTCCAAAGTTCCTCTGTGGAGATGGGAGAACCTTCCAGAAGGACACCCATCTCTGCAGCACTCCACCAATCAGGCATTTATGGTAGAGTGGCCAGACGGAAGCCACTCCTCAGTAAAAGGCACATGACAGCCCGCTTGGAGTTTTCCAAAAGGCACCTAAAGACTCTCAGACCATGAGAAACAAGATTCTCTGGTCTGATGAAACCAAAATGGAACTCTTTGGCCTGAATGCCAAGCGTCACATCTGGAGGAAACCTGACACCATCCCTACGGTGAAGCATGGTGGTGGCAGCATCATGTTGTGGGGATGTTTTTCAGCGGCTGGGACTGGGAGACTAGTCAGGATTGAGGGAAAGATGAACGGAGAAAAGTACAGAGAGATCCTTGATGAAAACCTGCTCCAGATTGCTCAGGACCTCAAACTGGGGCGAAGGTTCACCTTCCAGCAGGACAACTACCCTAAGCACACAGCCAACACAATGCAGGAGTGGCTTCAGGACAAGTCTCTGAATGTCCTTGAGTGGCCCAGCCAGAGCCCGCACTTTAACCGGATCGAACATCTCTGCAGAGACCTGAAAATAGCTGTGCAGCGACGCTTGCCGTCCAACCTGACAGAGTTTGAGAGGATCTGCAGAGAAGAATGGAAGAAACTCCCTAAATACAGGTATGCCAAGCTTGTAGCGTAATACCCAAGAAGACTTGAGGCTGTAATCGCTGCCAAAGGTGCTTCAACAAAGTACTTAGTAAAGGGTCTGAATTCTTATGTAAATGTAATATTTCAGTTTTTTATTTGTAATACATTTGCAAAAATTCATAAAAACCTATTTTTGCTTTGTCATTATTGTGTATTGTGTGGAGATTGATAAGGCAAATTTTTTTTTACATCCATTTTAGAATAAGGCTGTAACATAACAACATGTGGGAAAAGTGAAGGGGTCTGAATACTTTCCGAATGCGCTGTGTAAGCCACGAAAACACAGTTCCACAAACACGCCTTCCCAGTCCTGTATCTCCAGACAGAGTGATACAGCTCTATCCTCTCTCCCCTCCCCTCCATAGTCTCTGTTCTCTCAAGTGTCCTTTAGTTTTCAATGAACAGCCTGTGACAGAATCAGTCAGTCTCTCATGGGTTGCGTTTAGTAGGGCACACTGCCGTAAAACATTTCTCAAATGTTTAAAAACAAAATTATTCACTGTCATTGGAAACATCCAGGTAGTACCTCCTTGTTTCACTCTTTCCAATAATTTCCTCCCTACTGAACTAGACCCTGCTCTTTTCTTCCTCAGAGCTGCCTGTTGAGCTGCTGCGCCTGCCTCTCCTTGGCGTCGATGGGAGAACTTGGTGTCCTGCAGCTCCTCCATGGTGTCCATGATATCCTGCTGGACATCCCCTCGTACTTCTCCGCCAGCTCCCACAGCTCCTGCTTCAGCTCCAGCACCATGCGGGTTAGCTCTGTCATGTGGTGGCAGCAGTGGCACTATGGGTGGCAGGTAGCCTAGCGGTTAGAGCTCTGGGCCAGTAACCAAAAGGTTGCTAGTTCGAAATCCCCGGACCGACTAAATCTGTCGATCTGCCCTTGAGCAAGGCACTTACCCCTAATTGCTCCAGGGTCGCCGTCAATAATAACTGATCCTAGGCCATGACCCCACTCTCAGGGGGAGTGGGATATGCAAAAAAACACATTTAGGTTGCACACTTGTACATGTGTGAAACAGGACAAATATAAGCACCTCTTCTTTGACCTCCCCCATCCTGGCTGGGTCGGGTTGGGTTGAGTCGGTCCACTGCCAGTCACATGCTGGAGCAGCCAGCTCCTCCAGGGAAAGACAGAGAGGAGGTTGCAGTGAAGAGGCATCACAAGAAGACTAGCTGTCGCTAACGTGTCAGCTAAAGGCGATCCAAAGTAAGAAGACAGAAGAAAGAGACTTCCAAAGATGAAACAGAACATGGTAGTAATCGGAGTTGCAGGTGATCAAGAGGTCAAGTGGGAAAGAAATATGGGAAATTCTAGAAAACTCCTGCTCTTTCTCTGTCTGTCCACCTGCAAAAGGTTTATAAGTGTCTTCCTGGCAGAGGCTAACAAAATACAGGTCTAAGGGTTATCCTGCTTTGTGTGTGTGTGTAATAGAGAGAAACAGAAACAGAGTACAGTACATCTGCATAGACCGCAGTGTGTGTGTGTGTGTGTGTGTGTGTGTGTGTGTGTGTATTCAGTCCTCTCTCTGACGTCTGCTGCCCACTATTCCCCTTAAAGCAGCTAATCTGAGCTCCCTCCCCACACAGCCAGGGTGCCTGGACAGGTTAGACTGACCAACCAGAAAGAGTAACCCCACCACCTTCGCCCCATCCTCCCCAGCCCTGAACACTGTCTGTCTGAGCACCAGATGAAGGGTATAGAGACAGATCTCACCTGAGTCTGCGCACATACACACACTCACACACACACACACACACATAGATGCAAGCACACACAAAGGTTCCTATGTACGGACACACGCATGCACAACCGCAAACACAATGTGGCTCCATTAAAGAGTCCTCCTATCCAATACTTCCTTTGCTTACCACCTCAGGTGATCATCATGGCAATGTGACCACCGATGAACTCAACACTTAATATGAATTGACTCTAACTAGTGTAAAGGTGATCATACGGTAACAGAATGACTTATAGGACACAGAGGGCTTGCTTTCTCACTTTTTTTATTCTGGTAACAGAAACTGGGAAGACACAATTCATGAATGTGTAAGGCAACTTTCAACATGGGAAAGTAATATCATTGAATTCAATACGGCCATTGAATTTAACTCTGTTACATTAGGAAAATTGTATTTATAACACAAACACTATTGTACATTGCGCACAAACTTGACCCCCCTCGTACCCCACATCACAGTAAATTCTAACAAATTATTGACCAGCTCATATTATGCAAATTCAACCTTCAGCCAAGACAGAGCCAGACCCACTAAACACTGCTTTGGCTTCCTTTGAGCCCACTGAGAGAGAGCTGAGAGAAAGAGAGAGAGAGAGATAGAGATAGAGAGAGAGACATCAGTGCCACAGGTAACTTCCACAAAGCTGTGAACGATCTGAGAGACAAGGCAAGAAGGGCCTTCTATGCCATCAAAAGGAACATAAAATTCGACATACCAATTAGGATCTGGCAAAAAATACTTGAATCAGTTATAGAACCCATTGCCCTTTCTGGTTGTGATGTCTGGGGTCCGCTCACCAACCAAGAATTCACAAAATGGGACAAACACCAAATTGAGACCCTGCATGCAGAATTCTGCAAAAATATCCTCTGTGTACAACGAAAAACACCAAATAATGCATGCAGAGCAGAATTAGGCCGATACACGCTAATGATCAAAATCCAGAAAAGAGCCGTTAAATTCTATAACCACTTAAAGGGAAGCGATTCCCAAACCTTCCATAACAAAGCCTACACCTACAGAGAGATGAACTTGGAGAAGAGTCCCCTCAGCAAACTGGTCCTGGGGCTCAAACACAAACAGACCCCACAGAGCCCCAGGACAACAACACATTTAGACCCAACCAGATAATGAGAAAACAAAAAGAGAATTACTTGACACATTGGAAAGAATTAACAAAACAAACAGAGCAAACTAGAATACTATTTGGCCCTAAACAGAGAGTACACAGTGGCAGAATACCTGACCACAGTGACTGACCCAAACTTAAGGAAAGCTTTGACTATGTACAGACTCAGTGAGCATAGCCTTGCTATTGAGAAAGGCCGCCGTAGGCAGACCTGGCTCTCAAGAGAAGACAGGCTATGTGCACACTGCCCACAAAATTAGGTGGAAACTGAGCTGCACTTCCTAACCTCCTGCCAAATGTATGACCATATTAGAGACACATATTTCCCTCAGACACCCAATTTTGATAAACTCCCATATCTACTTGATGAAATACCACAGTGTGCCATCACAGCAGCAAGATGTATGACCTGTTGCCACAAGAAAAGGGCAACCAGTGAAGAACAAACACCATTGTAAATACAACCCATATTTATGTTTATTTATTTTCCCATTTGTACTTTAACTATTTGCACGTTGTTACAACGCTGTATATATACATAATATGACATTTGAAATGTCTTTATTCTTTTGGAACTTCTGAGTGTAATGTTTACTGTTAATATTTATTGTTTATTTCACTTTTGTTTACTATCTACTTCACTTGCTTTGGCAATGTTAACATATGTTTCCCATGCCAATAAAGCCCTTAAATTGAATTGAATAGAATTGAATAAAGAGAGAGAGAGATAGAGAGAGAGAGAGAGAGAGAGAGAGAGAGAGAGAGAGAGAGAGAGAGAGAGAGAGAGAGAGAGAGATTATTTTCCGAGATTAATAAAACTGTCTTACCTTATCGCTTATCATTAGCAAAAAACAAAAGACTCCATTGTTTATGCATTGCCAAATATAATCATAGACATCAAGTGCTATTTGCATTAGAACATTTAATGGGATTCAATGGCTCCATTGTCAACATTTCTGTTGGTGGCCCACTCTTTCAGGGCATGCAAAAACAAAAGGAGTGTGGTTTTAATTTGCAGCAGAGCAAACCCTCTGTTAATGGTATTGGTGGAGGAATGAAATGGTAAGAGTGGTGAACACTGAACACTGAAGCCTAGCAATTTTTCCTTGTAATTATATATGTGTTATCACTATAATCCGAAAAAGGAATGAACATCCTGCCCATCAAAGGCCAGAATAAAAAAAATATAGAAAAAAGGCTGATGCTAGCCTGTTTGGCATGACAATTCCATAAGGTGAATAAGAGAGCAGAAACAGATGGCCACCTAGGCTAGTCCAACACTTCTTACATAGGCTTTTGAGGCCAGTGATGCCGTAACTGCATGAACGCAGGAATTGAGAAAACTAGAACTATTCATGATAGAGCAGCAGGCCTACTTCAATAATTACTTCAGCATCAAAATGGCAAATGTTGATTATTTTGGGGGAGATTTTATTTGGGGGAAACAGCTAACTTCCTGCAATTCTACATATATTGCCATGGGGCAGAGAGAAATATTTGCAGTTGTATAGCTAATCTCATGCTATTCTACACATTTTGCAATGAGACTGAGATCATTTAGCATTTTTAAAGCTAATTTACTGCCAATCTACACTGGTACGCCAGTGGTTTTATTCTCTATGCCTGTTCTCCATTGACTGTTGTTTGTTATTTGTGTGTTTTCTCAAACCACTCTACACAAGAAGAAGTCCCCTCACATGAAGAATATAGTTATTTGAGTTATTTGTATTGAAGAGTATTTTTTTCTTCTGGTAACTGTGTATCAGATTCATGTTAATTTCTATCTTCAAGTACCAGAAAATACCCAGCAAAGGTGTGGTTGGAGGTGATAGTGTAACCCCACTGTTCTTCCCTCCAAAGGCAACAGACAGCGCAGCAGGTACAGAGTGATGATAGAGCTCAAGCAATGTTTTATTCTCTTGGAAATGAAAAAGAACATACACTGCAGTGAAGGATTCTCTCACTCCTCTCATTCTCTCCAACAGCATGAAACCGTCTGAGGAGAAAATGGTCAATCGCAATAGTATATAGGTGTAATTCAGCTAATAAGCCACAAGATGTCAGTCTTTACTCATGAATTAATAAAATGTAAATAAGAGTGAACATTTAGTCAAAGACAAATTCAATAAGTATGCAACCTATATTAATTTGCTATGGCTTCAATTGAAGCTTCTCTAACGTCAGATATGTACAGCGCGGTGTCCCTCAGGGCAGTTCCCTTGCGCTGTTACTCATCTCTATTTTTACATATGATTTGCCACTGGTCTTACATGAAGCTATAAGGACTATGTATGGAAAATAGAGGATTTACAGTCAGTATCAGATTGGGTGATTAATAATAAACTGGTCTTAAATACATCTAAACTAAAAGCATTGTATTTGGTTCAAAACATTCTCTAAGACCTAAACCTCAACTGGAGTTGGCTGTGACCATTGAGCAATTTGAGGAAGCTAAACTCCTAGGTATAACATTGGATAATCAATTATCATGGTCAAAGTTGTTGCGTTTTTGATACAAAAATCAACTGTACTAGTTGTTCAGGCTCTAGTCTTGTCCCATCTTGATTACTGTCCGGTAATATGGTCAAGTGCAGCAAAGAAAGACCTAGCAAAGCTGCAGCTGGCTCAAAACAGAGCAGCACGCCTTGCTCTTAACTGCACATACAGAATTAACATCAACAACATGCATGCCAGTCTTTCATGGTTGAGGGTTGACGAGAGATGAACTGCTTCTCTTTTAGTTTTTATGAGAAATATTACTGTGATGAAAATTCCAGATTGTCTGCATAATCAAAAAACATTCAGCTCATACCCCACAAGATATGCCACCAGGCGTCTCTTCACAGTTGCAAAGTCTAAAGCGAATTCACAGCAGCGCACAATATTATACAGAGCTTTGATCGCATGGAACTCGCTTCCATCTTCAATTACTCAAGCAAACAGCAAAGTTACCTTTAAAAAACGGATTAAACTACATCTCATGGAACGGCAGGGGACACACACCATTTTTTAGTTGTATTGTTTGTATAAAAAATGTATGTGACTGTCCTTGTCATGTTTTGCATTTCTTGTGGACTCCAGGAACAGTAGCTTCTGCTTCTGCTGCTTTACCAAATAAATCAAGTACTCGCAGGGGTCCTAGTGCCACTGGTTGGGAACATTTTTACATTTACATTAGTCATTTAGCAGACGCTCTTATCCAGAGCAACTTACAGTTAGTGAGTGCATACATATATATATTTTTTTCATACTGGCCCCCCGTGGGAATCGAACCCACAACCCTGGCATTGCAAACGCCATGCTCTACCAACTGAGCTACATCCCTGCCGGCCATTCCTTCCCCTACCCTGGGCCAATTGTGCGCCGCCCCATGGGTCTCCCGGTCGCGACCGGCTACGACAGAGCCTGGATTCGAATCAGGATCTCTAGTGGCACAGCCTTAGACCACTGCGCCACTCGGGAGGCACCACTGGCCTATATGACTGAGTGTCACACAGGATATTTTAGCCACTGGAATCCATCTCTCTTTTGTTTTGAGAGAAAGCAGTGTCTTGTTCCACTTAGATTTCATATTAGGAAAATGTTCTACCATACCATCCCTCCAGTTACAGTAAGAACAGAAAAGAAAACCCACAATAAAAGGCTGTTTTTATTTCAGGAATCGAGAGGATATACTAAAACACAGAAATTATAACAGCACATTATCCAGCACACAAACATCTACACATGAAGTTCTTCCCACATTGTCCTTGTTCAACTGCAAGCACAGTGGTGTAGTTCGTTTTCAAGTAATTACACCTAATAACAAGTGTATTTCTGTGAAATGCAGTCAAAGTATCACATCTAATACAGACTTCTGGGTACATGCATTTACGTTCAAATATGCAAGATGCAAGAGCAAGTCTTAGTGCAACAGTACAAAGTTAGGCTTCCAGCTTTGAACAATGAGGCTTCTTGATTATAACAGTTTAAGGTTGTTGAACTGTGAATTCTTGAGACCTGAGAATTCTGTGTCCTGTGTGGTTTGATGCACAGGGTGATGGAAAACACATATACTTCAGACCATGTAATAGTGAAACTTCCTAAAGTGAAATTGTGGTTTTCATTTTCTAATTTCAGTATCTGCTCACTGCAAAAGGTTTTTGGAGCTGTGATAATTTTACATTTTACATTTACATTTTAGTCATTTAGCAGACGCTCTTATCCAGAGCGACTTACAGTTAGTGAATACATTTTTTTTTTTTTATACTGGCCCCCCGTGGGAATCGAACCCACAACGTTTTAATCACAACCCACAACGTTTTAATCATCCACTGAGTAGCCTAGATGCATGTTTACTCTTTTTTTTTTACAAAGATTTCACCATTTATTAACTCTACTGCTCGGTCAATGCCAAAATCATAATCATAAAGCAATACTGCAGGAACTCATGTAGGTTTCACAATCTCAGAATCAATCAATTGTAACATTGTAGCAGGAGAGGATCAGAGTGAAGCCAGGATCAATTGAGAAGCAGTAGCAGCGCCGATGCAGAATTGGGCGCCAATAGCTCAGAGCTAGCTCTCAGCGCTGACAAAGGAACCAGAGCCGTGATAAGCTCCAGTATCTTGTCATTGGTTGCCAGCATTAATGTTGAACAGAGGTTCACCAGGTGATGCCCGTGCTCAGCATGCAAACAGCATAACATGAAAGAGAGGACAAAGCAGTGTTAGTTCTGGTTTATTTCAACTAGGGGTGTATGAGAGTACGTTTAACATGTGAGAGTCCAACATGCAAAAATGAAGGGAAGGAACATTTTGTGTATTTCAGACTGAAGAACCCATAAAGCCATCATACGGACCACCTGTGGAAAAGCATAATGTAAACCCAACACTGTTGCCTTAACGTGAACTCAAACTTGTGCTACTGACAGAGTAGAGATACTCTTTTACTGTATATGCATGTTAGTTGCTTCTCCGTAGGCCATGAAGAGTAGGCAGACAGATGGATTCCTGAGCAGACTGCACGCTGAAGGGTCCTGACGCCCAATATGAACTTAATCCCTGCTATTGGAGCATGATAAGGCTGCATTTGCCTGACTGAAATTGTAATAGAAAAGGCATACATGGTTATATAACAGAAGACATTGTACATAGAGAAGACCATAGAGTAGACTGCTGCAGAGCGACACAGCTTAGCCATGAAGTACCATCACAACATGCAGTATTACTAACAAACCCCCCTAAACCACAACTAAACGTTAGCTACGAAACCACAATTACTATCTAAATAGCCTAATGTCCTACTAATATGTCTCAGAATTACAGTGAGGGAAAAGTATTTGATCCCCTGCAGATATTGTACGTTTGCCCACTGACAAAGAAATGATCAGTCTATAATTTTAATGGTAGGTTTATTTGAACCGTGAGAGACAGAATAACAACAAAAAAATCCAGAAAAACGCATGTCAAAAATGTTATAAATTGATTTGCATTTTAATGAGGGAAATAAGTATTTGACCCCCTCTCAATCAGAAAGATTTCTGGCTCCCAGGTGTCTTTTATACAGGTAACGAGCTGAGATTAGGAGCACACTCTTAAAGGGAGTGCTCCTAATCTCAGTTTGTTACCTGTATAAAAAGACACCTGTCCACAGAAGCAATCAATCAATCAGATTCCAAACTCTCCACCATGGCCAAGACCAAAGAGCTCTCCAAGGATGTCAGGGACAAGATTGTAGACCTACACGGCTGGAATGGGCTACAAGACCATCGCCAAGCAGCTTGGTGAGAAGGTGACAACAGTTGGTGCGATTATTCGCAAATGGAAGAAACACAAAAGAACTGTCAAACTCCCTCGGCCTG